TCTTTATATTTGAAGCCATGATGTTTTTTCAGCATTCGGCATTGGTGGTCAATGTCTGTAACAAATGTTACAGTTGTGTTACCATTTGTAATAACTATTCAAGGAAGTAACATTTTGACATATTAATACTTAGTATTTTGATTATTGTGAGAATTAGAATTGATAGGAAACTCTCATTTTGTAAACAGTACTTGAAATAAGCAAATTGACCACATAGCTTTATGGCATTCCAAAACCCAATTCAAATGAATTTAGACTGCTAGATAACCCATTGATGTTTTTTCAAGAGTTTTGATATCATAACAAATCAGTGTTAAATTGAGAATATTTGAGCAATTTTGTAAGGAATATGTGATACTTTGTGAAAAGTGTTCAGATTAGACAGGTAATTTTTTCAAATATGAGTGTTCACTGTTCAGATGAGGAGGATATGTTCAGGGTCTTTTAACATGGGAGTCAATTGGAGGAAAAAAAGTGTTCAGATTAGAGGTTGTTCAGAATCGCCAGGTGTTCAGATATACAGGTTTCACTGTACAATAACCTTAGAATGATAAATTGAATTATATGTTACTCAACACTCATTGTATAAATGTTTATTGTATACTATTACGCAATCTTTTATATATTGATGAGATTGCTTACGCTTGAAATGGTGTACATATATGCCAATCCCAATGCTGGTTTTGGAACAAAAAAGTAATTGGTGTTGTCCTAGAGAATACTAGATTTTTAGTTCTATCTTCAATATATAGAGTTTATGATATTAAGAAAGTCTTTATTACTGTATTTTATTGTCTGTTCACTTGAGACTCTTTATCTATACCTGTATACCTAGCTATTAACTTCAAATCCCAGTCCAAACAGAGCCAAGCATCTTATCTTGCCCTCCTTGTCAACATCTCAATAGACTTCTAAGTGAAAACAACATTTATTGGATGAAAGTGTTGAAAGTAAATATGACTTTGCTTCTTCGTATGTGCTGGTTATCTTGTATGCTTATAGACTATTATTGAAGTGCTACATTGCTTAAAGTCTTTTATTAAGGGGTTACCATACTAAAAGTCTTAATTAATTGTTTCAATTGTCTATAGTCTTTTATTATAGGCTTACGATGCTTAAAGACTATCATTGAAGTGCTACAATGCTTAAAATATTTTATTATAGTTGTACATTGCTTGAAGTCTTTTATTATAGTATTACAGAGTTTAAAGTATTTTATTATTCGTAGTGTTACGGTGCTTTAAGTCATTTACTATGATGTTACAGTACTTTAAGTCTTTTATTATAATATTATATTGCTTAAAGTCTTTTATTATAGTATTATATTGCTTAAAGTCTTTTATTATAGTATTATATTGCTTAAAGTCTTTTATTATAGTGTTACAGATTGTTACAGTGCTTAAAGTCTTAAAAATATCAAACTTCCAACTGAATTGAAATCATGTATTGTTCACATTCTCTGTTTTTTACTAAAATGTCTCAATTTGGTCAGAATATCATCCGAATTTTAGTATTTTTTTTATTTTATTTCCTCAGCTACTCTCAACTCTGGGTGCAACTTCAGTGCAGAATGTTAAACATTACAAGTAGAAACTGTAGATCCAAGGTCATACCAACTGAACTTGAAAATAATTTCTGAATAATCAGAAATTTGAATTCCTAAAGGCAATTGAATATATTACAAAACTGTACAAAGATTTCAGAAAATTTTGAAAGTAGGATTCTTGGAGCCAGTAACTGTTACCAACTAAACTTGAAGTTTTCTGAATATCTCAGAAGTAAAATATATTTGGAGATCTGATTTTTAGGGCTGTAACAGATTAGTTGTTTTTCAGCCAGATAATATATTCATATCCGGCTCCGCTCACATGTTTTTATGTTATAAGAAACCAAATTTACAAACTTTTCCTGATAATTTTGAAACAAATGCTTTTCTAAATAAACATCGCCATAGATCATAAACCTGTATATAAGCTAATAAGTGCTTAGTCAAATGCAAGTTTGATAAGTACCTACTAATATAATTAATTTCTGTGAATATTACGTAGATTGATAGAGAACATAACGTTTGTGGGTTCAAGTTTAACTGGGTGGAGTAACTTTCAAGTTGCTTTCAAATATGTAACTTGTGTTAATTTGATGCTATTGAATTTGGCAGATTTTCTGCTTTTTGATTTTGGTTGCTGTATATTTTGGCGGATTTGAGTTTAGTTCAATTTCTGTATTTTCTTACCTTCTTACAACAGTTCTTCTAAATAATCAATCTTATTTTTAAAATGATTTCCTAAGTTTATCTTATTTGAAGGCTAACTTAATATCTGTATACTGTTATTTTAGATTTTTGTGAATGTGTAAATTGGCAAATATTTCAAGTAAGAAAATTTGAAAGGATAAAGTGAGTATCAAAACCCAAGCTACAGTCACTTATTATCTAAAAATTAAAATAAATATTTTTATTAAGTGTTAACATGATTTTACATTTTAGATTGTATATTATTTACTAATCCACTTGTAAAGCTGTGTATGTCATTTTGCTTTACATCATGTATATATTATGCTGTATTTATTTACTTTTGTAAGCCTGTCTTATCAATTCAACTGATAAATCAAAATCGTTTTTGTGGAAAATAGGTTTTATCTTGTTATCAAATGTCTTTATCTTGTCACATCTTTTCTTGTTATCATAGATAAGCAGTAATTCAAGAAACATAAAAGATGTGTAATATTGCTTAATATTGCTCAAAACATCTAGGTCAGTTGTTATTTCTGATCCGAATCACAAAAACAAAATTTTATCAAATTTTCTCATTGCCAAAATATTTTTATTATAGTAGGTTAGGAAAATGATTATAACGAAGTTTCATGAATGATTATAAATATGTATCGTTGACATGGAATATGTTTGCCAGAAGCTATTTTGGAAATATTTTTTAAGTCAGCCTCGAAAAAATGAATATTTTTCATTTTAAGATATTTTAACCTCAAGATGGTACAAAATAAAAAATGCATCATATACAATAAATTAAATATTAAAGCATTATCTTATTTTTTGTAAATGCAAGAATATTGTTTATGATTATGGCATATTAATAGCAAAAAAGATGTTGAGCAAGATTTAAAAACGAAACTAGAGTTACGAGGCTGGAGGCCTTTCATCCGCAAGTCATGTTTATTTAATATCATCAATTAACCACTTGAGAGACATTCACTTTACTTTGATCGTGTAATTTTGTATTTATCACAGTATATATGAAAAATGTTTGAACATCTTTATCTGTTTTTCGCCAAACCCCTGAGGATATAAAATTCATTCAATTTCATAATTAGAACATTTATATTTTCTTTAAAGATCACTATATATTACAGATGTCAGATTTATGATTTGATACTATGTTTATGTTGTCTTTTTTAATGTTATTTGAATCTTTGTCTAATATTTGATGAATTCATTTTATATTAATTACATGTACCATAATTAGATGTTTTATCTTCAAGGTAAAACACAATAGGACTTATTAACTTAAAAAAACCAAAGCACCATTTTTTGAGAAATAGAAGTCACATCCTTTTTAAATAAGACCTGCACGAATCTCTATTTATTCTTATTAATTTGAAAAAATCTGTACAAATTGAAAAAATCAATGCAAATTGAAATAGCATACAAAATATGGACATACGAGACATTTGAATATCCCTTCTCAAATATAGGTATTGATAATATAAAATAACATATGGCTATCATTTGGCATAATAAAGATTTGAAGAGGTTTGAATGCCCCTTTTGGTCGTATTATTTAGATTCATTGCTCCCAACTCTCGGGTAACTCCACGTAACATCATGCTTAGCAAATACCGTCCAAATTGAGCATACACCTACGTCAATATAGAAGTTAGTTTAAAAAATTAAGTGCTATTTCGGGGTGATAAGGGTTATAGTTTATATGGTCTAGGGGTAGGCATTTTGGTGTTTGTCTCAGTATTATACAAATAGAATGGATTCATAAGACTTGATACTGGGTTTGATACAGACCATTATATCTTTGTAGGAGGGCATATTGATATAGTGTACTTTTAAAGTCAGCATTTTGTTAATTTTTGACCAGTGTTTTTGGGAGGCTGTGTCAGCCTTCAACAGGCAGCGCTTGTGGTTGCTTTGCATTTTCCGTAACAATTTGTTAGATTTATGTTCACATTTCAATTAACTTTGCTGATGCTTGTTCAATATTTCCATTCATCAGTCTGAGAGAGAAACAATTGTGTTTAATATAGCTGTCCCCAAAAACATGTCTATATGAGGGTTAAAAGAGTTTAATTCCTGCCTGTTTTTCCCACGGTCCTGTTCCCAATCAGGGGATGGGCATTTTCCATCAGATTGCATCAGAGTTATCTGGATCAGTCTTTGTAGAGGCTGGGGTCTTTTATGGAGGTGTATATTGCGGATCTTGGTATTCCCTGATCTTGGTAGTAAGCCTATTTCGTGATTTTGTCTGTTCTGGATGATGAAATGTGTCAATTTCTATAAACCCCCATGGAAAAGCAAAATAGAATATGTTTACAAGAACATCAATATTATTTACATATTTAGGTTATATACTTTTGAACAATGCCCTCATCATTTGCATATACAGTTACACAAAACATCATATACCAATCCAAGGGATATGATTTATTAGAAACTTTACCTTGATAAATGAGACTTGACCTTGATATATGGGACTTGACCTTGATATATGGGACTTGACCTTATTGTATAAAACTTGACTTTGCCATATGAAGCCTTCAATCTTATATCCATTGGTCTTATATGTTACCGATGGTACCACTTTAATAGACACAAGAGTTGTAATAGTATATCAGAAATTGGTTGAAGTCATCATCGTGTTTATAGGTGTTGTGTTATATATCATTGTTGCCCTTTATGCTTTCCCATATGAAAACTTCAAAGTAATTACTCTCTGATGCAAATTGATCTAATGATGGGTTTTCTTGTATTATTTCAGTTGCGGATCCATCAAATCCAACATCGTGTATCTGCCCGCAAAATCTGTTCCAGTGTGACCCATCAAGCACAGAGGGATGCACGTGTATCCCTTTATACTGGGTATGTGATGGGGACAATGACTGCGATCAGGCTAATGATGAGGCCAGATGTGGTGAGTAGAAACAATGAATGGAAAGTAGTGGAAATAGCAGGTTTAGAGTATAATATGATCAATCAAGCATAAATATATTCCTCATTTGGTATTTGGAGAATTGGACATTGGGGACCATGCATGTAATCATGCAAGTGATGATTCAACTGAAAAATGAAAAGCATATGTAATATGAAGAAATGTGACTATCATGATTTATAGGCACAAAGAAGTAAAACTAACCAATTTGGGCAGTTTGGCTTTACAGTAATTAACCTCATGACTACCCAGAATTGCTCATTTTAACAGTGTTAAATTGTGTAATCTACACAAATTATGTAGAAAGAATCATTACTATGTTGCAAGGTTAAAGTAAATAAAATGCTAATGAGTCTTGCATTAGAGGAAACATTTCATAACTGATGTCAGGTTAGAGTTTATGTCAGATTAGTGCTGGTGTCAGATTAGTGCTGACATATTATTGAATGCCTACAGTTTTGATGTTAGACATCATTTATTGGAGTGACGTTTCACACAAGAGGAGACAGGAACTATTTCTTTGCTTTAATTTGATATATCATCAAGGGTTATGTCACATTATGTTGCACTGATGTCATATAAGGAAATTCATTGTAGCTGTGTCATATTAACTCCCAATGCAAATAGTGCAATTGAATTTATTTTTCTATCGTTTACGAGTTATTGTAATGAAGAGACTGTATTCATGGCAAAGCATCTCTAAGGTATCATTTTGCAGTTTCAGAAAGGCATTGTGACCTTTATAATTAAGGGATGTAACAGAATGCCAGAATTAAGAAAAACAATTCTATTGTTGGGTTCTGTTTATATATGAGCCTAACTGAATTATCTGATAATGGAAAATGAATACTCCCAAATCGAAAAAATTCTCACAAGTCTTGTTGATTCAAAAAATAGCACGAGTGATGATTTTACTTGTCAAAATATTTCTCAATGTAAACTGGTATTTTTTATTAGAAATGCTAAGACCACCGTGGCTGATCATTCAAATAAGACATCTCTAATTACTATGCTACATAGAAATAGTTTTGGGAGATATTTTAGAACTCTGCCTACATCATTTCTAAAGTTAAGAACAAAGAACTTATCTTTCGATTATCATAAGAAGTGTATAGGGAGATAAGAAAAGGTACATTTCAAAACATATCTGTCATATTTGATGTGTTACAGTTGCAAGAATATCAACAATTGAAAAGTAAAAGGAGCTTGTGTTTCAAATGAATCTTTTATATTGATAAAATGAAAAAAGGATTTGGTGAAACACCATTTGTCCTTGTAACTCTCATTTTGAGATTTGGTTAAAACAGGTAAAGGAGGGGCATGGTTAGTTATGAAGCATATGATGCTGTTACTGTCTCACTAGAATTTTACAGAAAAATATTTTGCAACATTTTTTTCAACTAAAACTCATAATGGTGCCCATACAAGTACAATATCATACTTGGCTTAAGTTTTCTTTTGAAGTTTTATCTTATCTTGTCTTTTTTAATTTGCCTCCCCTAAATTTGGATCCTGGCTTGGCCCATGTTAGAATATAAAATGTGCCTCGCCCCAAGGTTTACATTACCTCTTTGGAAGGACATTGAGTAATTAACACATTTTTCTTGTGAAATATTTATCTTTTGTATTTGGACTGACTTGTTTTTTACTTGAAAACCAGGTTTTTCTTATGGAATTTGACACTAGGATATAAAAGTGAAGGACTTTGGTGTTAGACCCCCCGATAATTAGCCACAACAGAGCTTTTTGGACACTTAAAGATATGCCTGGATCTCAAGATATGCCAGGGATTCATTGAGACATATTTTACACTGCAAAAATTAAGGGACCAGGCCAAATATTATAAAACATGTGAATTTCACTGACAAGCTATTTTTTAAAAAATTCACCCATTCATGGTTTTGACATATTGTAAATAAATAATTTTACAAAATTTATCTTGATACAAAATAACAGGAAAGCCCATGATGAAAATTATGAAAATTGCATGCATGAATTAAAATAACATGTTTTTAAGTACATGTATTTACATTTTATGTGAATTAAATCCGATATGGGGAACAGAACAAATATCCCCTTTTTGTAGGTATAAGGATGAGATATATTTATTAATCACTTCATATTTAGCAATAGAAAATGTTATTATTTTGACACAACCCCTTAAAGTATGACACTATAAAATCATAAAAAGTGGAGGGAATATATACAACTACTACAGGTCTTTAAGAACAGGGAAATCAAGAACACCAGACCTTTAAATTAAAGTATCATAATCACATAAATGGTACCTATAAAAATAGTTTGGACACCTGGTCTTGATACTGGTATAGACAATATGACATTTTAAGTCATAAATACATATATAATTTACAAGGACATCATAACTGCACCAGTTTTCTTTTTAACAAGTGTAGGTTTATTTTAGCAATGCCATTGTGCAATGTGTACTTTTGAGCATCTGTATATCTAAGCAACACTTTGGAGTATATTTTTTTAAATTTAGTTATTATTATTGATAAATTTTTGATTGATCTCCATAAAAAATGTGCACATGTCTAAAAGTATATATTTTTACACATGTGTGGCATGCAATCATGATTACACTGTTGATTATGGTCATTTGTGGCTCCTTTAGGCACTTAACCCATACTTGACATCTGTATGACTTATCAAGCGACAGTCTTATCCTGTGTTGTAAAACATTACATTTTACTAGGCAAATAAAAGTGAAGGAGAAACACATGTGGAGATAATATGCTTATCTATATAGGTCCAGAATGAACATGAATTCATGTCCAGCTGAATAGGTTATTATCCCATCGAACGAAGTTCGGGGGGATATAGGGAACTCCTCCGTCCGTCCGTCCATCCGTCCGTACGTCCGTCCGTACGTACGTACGTCCGTCCGTCCGTCTGTCAAGCCTGAGGAACCTGCTTTTATATCTAATGTGGATTTTTATCTTACCAATCATGACTTAAATATTAATATGGGTATTTCCTATAATTAATATATACTGGATTTTAACTTACCAAATATGACTTCAATATTAATATGGGTTTAAACCTATAATGTATTAAATACTGGATATGACAAGTAAATAAAATCAATTATAATCTACCTATATGATGTAGATATCCAAATGTTGGTCTGAATTTATCTTTGTGGAAAGATTGTATGCTTCAGTTGCTCTTTAACAAAACATGTGGGACAGTGTATCTATATATTACAAGATGTCCGTCCGTCCGGGCAATAACTCAAATACCGTTGGCCCGATTTTGTTCATATTTTGTACACATATACCTTATGGGGGTAGAAGATCTGCTCGAAAGCCGATTTTCAAAATGGCCGCTCATTTCAAAATGGCGGCCATTTTAGTGCCGATTTTACAGTAATTTAGGTGCAATATGTAAAACTGTTATACAGTTTAAAATTATAAAGGACATTAATAATGCTACAAATGTAGATATTAAAGAAGCACATGGCAGCCATCTTGAAAAATGGCAGCCTTTACTCGTCATTTTTGCTATAACTCAAAAAATAGTGGAGCGATTTTGTTCATATTTGGTATGTGAATACTATAAGCATTGTACACTGTCAAAGACACTTTTGGTAGAAGGCGGCCATTTTGAAAAAAAAATGGCCGCCATTTTAACGTATTTTACTACAACTCGAAAAGTAGTGGAGCAATTTTGTTCATATTTGGTATGTGAATACTATAAGCATGGCACACTGTCCTATGACACTTTTGGTAGAAGGCAGCCATTTTGAATTTTTTTTTGAAAAATGGCCGCCATTTTAACGTATTTTACTATAACTTGAAAAGTATTGGAGCAATTTTGTTCATATTTGATATGTGAATACTTTAAGCATGGCACATTGTCTAATAAAACTTTGGGGAGTTGTCGGCCATTTTGAAAAATGGCCACCATTTTTATGTGTGTTATTTTACAAGTACGTGTGCGATTTTTCAAAAATTTTAGAGGTGGCTACTGAAAAGCATATTATTTCTTCTGATGACAACTTGGCTAGTGAGCAACCATTTTGAAAATGGTGGCCTTTCTGGTGTGTTGTTTTATGATATTTGCTATTCGTTTGTAAAAATGCCAGCCATTTCTGTTCGATGGGATTCGCTACGCTTTGGCGTTGCCGTTGTTCTGGTTTGCTCATACAATTTGAAATACCCCAAATTAAATTAAGTAAAATTCCATAATATAATAGAATAGTACCCGAGGCAGAATCCCTCATTAATACTCAGGAATCAGGAAGGCCATTTTTCCATTTCATTTTCCACCTTATTTTCGGGCACATCTACCCTGCATGCAGAGTCTAGTTATAAACTACTAACGAAGCTCTCTTTTATGAAGCAAAAAACGAATCCAAAGGGTATGTCACATCTCATCTCTCTCTTGCTATTTTTCCCAATCTTCTCTTTGTCACTAATCTTTCATCTATAATTTCCTAATTCAATTTGTATGACTTTCCTATGAATTTTATATGACATATTTATAGGTGAAACAATTAAAAATTGTCAGACCCTTTGGCTTGTCTCGCATTGTTAGGAAACATGTAATGGGGAAATAAGCAGATCAGTCACACCATATTTATTATAGTAAGGGCTGCATGTTCCCATAAAATATAAGTGACACAATGGGAAGGGGGTCTTGGAGCATGCACTCAGAAAACATTTGAAGACCCCCATTTGACACAATCTGAGTGTGTCTAAGGAAACCATTTAGCATTAGTCTGCATTAATTGTGGGATCCACAGCCTTTACTATCCTTTTGGAATAGTTCAGTTCTCTCAAAAGCGTGAGGTAAAGAGGGGCTCTGATAAATCAGAATGATTAGTCTGTATAGTTCAACGATATAATATCATATCTAAATCCTAAAATGGTGACAGTTCTGGTCAGTCAATCAGTTACATAGATGTCTAAACTGTTCGAGGAGTCATTAGGTATAGTGCATCTGGGGTTATCATTTTACATGTATGTATTAAGAGATGGGCATGTCTTGAGTCTGATATCGAGCAATTACCTCCATTTGACCAGGTGATGTAAATAAAAGTGTCTCGTGTTTAATTGTTTTTGTGTTGTAATCAATGAACATGTTGTAATCAGAAATACCTTACCTTATTTGACTCCAATTTCGAGGATTGTGACCCCAAAGGCTTAAGTATTAAATATTCATACATTCTTCAAGCATTTTATTATATATTGTAATTGTCTACCTTGGCCATGTTATGTAAGATATAAGTGACTTTGGCATTATTTTCCTGAAGGAGTAACCTTTGGTAGAAATATTTAGCTAAAAAATCTGAATTTTTAATTTTCAATTAATCAAACTTTTAATCAAAATTGCTACTTAAAACAGGACTCCCCTCTGGCGGTGACGTGTGTTTGTGTTTTTGGGGGTTGAAGAAATGACATTATTTCATTGAACTATACAGTCTTAACAAACAGCCTCAAAAAATATGTAAATTAATGTTACGGTTGTCATGACATTATATCATTGAACAGTACAGTCCAACACACTGCCCCAAGAATATTTTTACCTGAAGTGACCTCCCATTGATTCATATAAGCGAATTACTAAATTAGCCACATTTTAATCTCACTGTGCACTAGTCTGTCTAGGAAATACCAGACAAGTCTGAGAGAAAATTTTATCAAGTAGGGTTGCGAAAAAAAGATTCTGAAGGTGTAAACATGGTATGTAAGACTGAATAGTGACTTTTATCAATCAATTAAGGCACACAATCAAACCGAAACTATTTGCGAGTGTGGAAATTGATTCAACGATGAGAGAATTTAAGGTGCAGCAGTAGTGGCCGATAGAGTACCTTCTGAAATATGCCAACCGAGGATTTATTTAGTGAAGAAAATTCTCAAGAAGTCAACAATTTTTCAAGTTTCAAAAAGCATGTTGAGTAATAGATTTTATGGATAGTTCTTATTTTGTAGAAAGAAATATAACCTGAATGTACCTTTTGCATATTGAGTATAATTAAACTATTTTGATGAGGGTATATTCTTGTTAGAAGACAAGGCTTATCACGGGCACACTTCTGCTGCCTGTTAAGTGGCTTAATGAATGATGTAACAATTTAGTTGATTCAATAGACTTATCTTAAGGGGGATTGAGGATAAGTCAGCCATTCAGTTTTCAATAATCTACTTTATAAACTGTCTGCCGATTTTGGATATGTCACACTGATTTTACTCTTTTTCTCCCCTGGTTTTGTATTCTTGGACCACCTCATTTGTTTATTCCAGGGGTGTATGGTCAGAGGTAGAATGTGTATATGCTCAACTTCTTTCTAGGAGTTTGGCATCTTGACCTTGACCTTTCTGTGACATCATTAGTTAGTATGTACCTGAGAATGTCTTATAGGTCTTGTGATGTCATTGCCAAACAAATCATACTTTTTACCATAAAGGCAATCCGATGTAGCATATGTTTAATTGTTTTATTTAATTTTTTGTATTCCTTTATGCTATACTATCTTGTTAAAACCTGACTAACTTCCATACAAACTAGTTTTTAAATGCATATATGAGGTAAAGTGCTTATTTCCTGTTCTAAATCAAATACTACTAGATAAAACCAGATGAGGGCTTACATTGTTAGATTATGTTACATCAATTGTAAAGTTCCAATAACTCTGGTATATTTTTATAGGATATTGTTTTCATTTTTATCAATAAATGATTATATTAAATTCGTATCATGGTGGGCCTAAGCCTTTGAAGTATTATTAGGCTCTCTAAAGTACTTTGAACGTAGAACTTTTCCTGATAAACTAAAAGTTATGATATTGGATACATCGATTTACACGTATGTAATATAAAGTGCTTGTTACCTACATTATAAATGTCAAGTTGGCCTTTTCTTTGAATTTGATAAAGGTTGGAAGAATAGATGTAGCAAAAACTAAAAACCATGTTCCTTCAAAGTACTTAAACTAAATGATATAGAAGTAGTTAATTCAAATTTTGTAGAAAAACCTCAGAAATAAGTGAGGAAACTGAAATTTTCAGTTTGAGGGTTCTACTCTGAGAGATTACAAAGATATACCAGCGCCAATTAGATAGCTTTGATAAAGTGGATTGTTTGATAGATAGCTAATAGAAAACATACGGTCAATTAATCCGTTTACCTTTCATAATAATTCAAGGAAAGATTGGAATTCTTATATTTTATCCCCATTTCCTTTAAAGAGGAACTTCTACCTTTGTATAAGTCTGTCATATGTCATTCGAAACATTTATTGATCTGTTTTCCCATTTTTATCTGCTTTACATTAAACAGATACTGATTTTGAGCAACAGAATATTCCTTTGCTCTACCCTAGATAAAAAGAAGACTGGTATTTCATTATCATGCAATTGTAATGTTTAAAGATATTTAAAGAATTAAAGATGTATTTTAAAGCAGCATGTTTTGTACCTTTTCAGTGCTTGTACCAAATGGTTATACATACTTTTTTAAATCACAAGCAGGATGTTACATTGTCATGCTATTGCCTTACTTACTTTTGTTTTGAATTTGAAAAGATATTTATGATTTTTGTTTTTATATTTATTTAATTTTATTACAGTAAAATATTTGCTTGAATAAATTACAGATTTATTTAGTAAAATTAATAGTAAAAGCAGCGCCTGTTTGTTTTAATGCTTTTTTAAAAGTATTCTAAAATCTGATAAAAAACTGGTATATTTGAAGATCGACCAACATGCAGCTCCAACCAGTACACATGTGACAATGATAAGTGTATACGCAAGGACTGGAAATGCGATGGGGACAATGATTGCGGGGACAATTCAGATGAACTCAACTGTCGTAAGTTTTACAATATTTAGATTCAAGTGATGCATGAATTCTTGAGATGTTCACTGCTTTCATTACTTTATGAGTTCTACATGGCAATTGACGATAACTTCCATACATGTCAAGTTTCAAACATAAAGTACAAATCAAAGGCTCATATTGTAAGCCCATAGAATCGCCCACTCATCTGTCGGTTGGCAATTTTCAAACAAGCGAAACTCCCCATTATCTCAATCAATGCTCGTTTCTATTATACAATGTATTGATTAATTTCAAGTTTAACATTAGGATTCATGCAACAGAGAAATGATGCTTTTTTCCATTCCAGCGAGCAAGAATTGTAGCGCTGATGAGTTTCAGTGTGACAATGGTAACTGCATACAGAAGAAATGGAAATGTGATCGTGACGATGATTGTGGGGATAACTCTGATGAAAAATACTGCCGTAAGTATGCATGTGAATCTATATGCTATCTACTGAGCCTATATTGTCTTTCTTTGGAAATGTTTCAAGATATCCACACACAAGAACCTCTATACTTCTCCATAAGACAATTCTCTCAAACTCTGCTTGAAGGTTAGGATTAGGGATAATGGGTGGTACAAAAAGGCTGATTTTTTTCATGATATTATCTATGATTTTGGGTAATTTTATCCATCTTTAACTATATTCTTGCCACCCAGAAAACTGATGAATGCAATGATTGATTAAATCATTAATTTCCAGCTGAAAGGAGTTGCACAGATAGCCAGTTCACATGTGACGATGGGAGCTGTATCTCTGCAGGGTGGAGGTGTGACCACGATATAGACTGTAAAGATGGCTCTGATGAACTTAACTGTAGTATGTACAAATTTACTTACATTTCCTTTAATCCCTCATACCCCCTCCCCCACCCTAAACACCCTACCCTCTCCTGGAGAAGGGGTATTACCCCGAGACTTGAGAAAGCAAAGCTATTTAAAAATAAAGAACAGGGTTGGGTTAATATGATCAAAATCGGCTTCCAGATTTCATTCAGATCAATAGCAAATTGCCCGAGAGAACAATTTTTTATATCCAACGGGTGTGAAAATCATAAATCCACTATGTTGGCAATTTCCTGGAAATCTATGGTAGACTGTTGGCTTGGTTAGCTTAGTCAACAAATTAACAAATTAATTTCCTTGCACTTCCCTTTGTATTTGCAATAGTGACAGTTACATATTGATGGATTGAATAATAGAGAGTACCATCAATTTATAATTCCATTCACTAATATACAAGCCTATAAAACCAGAAAAGCTTTTACCTTAGTGCAGTAAAATGTTCAGCTGACACCTATGAAGCCGTAAAAAGGTGTTCACTAAAGAATGTAATTATATTAGAATAAACCTGTCTGATTCAAACACTAAAAGCACATTTGAGTCAATGGAAGTATAAAAAAGAATATACATGTCGTGATAACCTCATTTCAAAGGGCAACATAGGTTAATACTATTATTACCACTCATTGAAAACCAGGTACAAATTTGTGATTAACCTTGGAAAAATTTTGATAATGACCACTATGGTCCTGCACTATGGCCTGGTACTTTGGCTCCATGTATTGTTCAAGTCAACAGGGAACAGCCCTCGCAATGTGGTGATATTTCACATTAAGAGATGTTTGGACCAGAAATTAGATACACAGGTTTTACTATACATGTATTTGATTTTAGAACTAGAGCCACCCAGATGTTCCGATGAGGAGTTTCACTGTAAGGCAGATGGGGTGTGTTTAGACAAGACTTACAGATGTGATGGGGATAATGACTGTCAAGATGGGGCTGATGAGGAAAATTGTGGTATGTTTTATTCATTAGAATATAAAAAAAGGATAGCATACTTTTATGCTATGTTATTGTTTTCACAGTTCAGTCAGATATTTTCTGTCCAATTAATTGATTACAGTATATCAGTCTAAAAATATTTTACTGTTAAATAGTGATGAATGCAGTTGTCTAACCTCATCTTATAGCTAGCTTTCCACGCAACTTAATTGATGGTTCTACAGATTTAAATAAGATGGAGCTTAGACCATAAACTGGATGATCTTATTGGAGTGACAAAAACAGTTCCCTCCAATAAGCATGGCTGACAAAACAACCTTTTGGAGTTGTCAAGGTCTAGGAAGCTTGACATGTCAAACTAGATGAAAGGCGCCTTAACATAGAGATTTAGTCTCGCTTCGACCCTGGACCCCCATTGGAGAAGTATATAGGAGGGGGGGGGGGGGGGGGGGCATCCACAGTATTGAAGCAAGACTAAAAGAGGTTGTGAATTTGAGACCCCCCTTGTTTTTCATCCTACAATTTGTTATTGCAGACGTGAAGCCGCAGTGCTCAGATTGGGAATTCCCTTGTTCTGATGGTGTCTGTATCAACGCAGCCTGGAAATGTGATGGTGCATACGACTGTGACGATAAATCTGATGAGAGAAATTGTCGTAAGTTTTGTTTCATTAATTCAATATTTTATTTGTTTCATAGTAAAATTACAAATGATGCTCTTGTATTTTATGATGTATGGGATTCTAACATTGTTTATGGTACGTCATTATATTTTATGATTATGTGGAAAGCCATTGTATTAGATGATAACTGGAATGCCATTGGGAATACCAATATATTTCATGATATGTGAAATGTCATTGTATTTCACGATGTATCTAATACAATTGTATTTCTCATTATAGTATTTGGAATGTCATTGAAAATGCCAATGTATTTCATGATAAATTAAATACAATTGTACTACTTGATAATATATGGATTGCCAATATATTTCTTGACATAACAATGATAAAAAGATCATTTAATTATTACTGCATAGGCCTACTTATGTAATTTTATGTACTTATGAATTAGCGACTGAAAAATACTTATATGTAGCCGAGAACAAACACGTTGAATATGTGTTTCAATATTTACATAGTCATTAGATGTGTAGTGTCTAACTGCTTATACTATTCCAGCCATTCAGAGTTGTGGTCCAGACCAGTTCAAATGTACATCAGGGAGCTGTATCCATGGCAACTGGACATGTGATGGTGAGGATGATTGTCCAGATAATTCAGATGAAGAGGACTGTGATACTCCCAATGATGACCAGTGTGGGCCTGGACAATTCAAGGTAAATACATTGCGGAATCAGATACTTTAAGGTCTCTCTAAGGTAAGCAATGGAATTAGGTTGACATGGAAACAGGTGTCTCAAACATTGTTCCTTATTACTGCTCAAGAAATCCACATATTCAAAGAAATCATACTGTGTACAAACAAAAACATTAAGATTTGGCACATCTTTATAATATGTACTCTAAACTATTAAATTCCTCAAAATTGTATTGAACATTTCACAGAATTTTATCATATAGGGTGTATTACTAATAGAACTTAAAAGAATTATGTCCTTCTTTATGCCTCATCCTACATTATCAATATTGTAAATACATTTAGACTGTTAACTGTTATTTGTTTTGTACCTTCAGTGTGACAATGGTGTGTGTATAGGTCACAGTAAAGTGTGCAATAGACTTGATGAATACATGTAGACTGTTAATTATTATTTGTTTTGTACCTTCAGTGTGACAATGGTGTGTGTATAGGCCACAGTAAAGTGTGCAATAGACTTGATGAATACCTGTAGACTGTTAATTATTATTTGTTTTGTACCTTCAGTGTGACAATGGTGTGTGTATAGGCCACAGTAAAATGTGCAATAGACTTGATGAATACATGTAGACTGTTAATTATTATTTGTTTTGTACCTTCAGTGTGACAATGGTGTGTGTATAGGCCACAGTAAAGTGTGCAATAGACTTGATGAATACATGTAGACTGTTAATTATTATTTGTTTTGTACCTTCAGTGTGACAATGGTGTGTGTATAGGCCGCAATAAAGTGTGCAATAGACTTGATGAATACATGTAGACTGTCAATCATTATTTGTTTTGTACCTTCAGTGTGACAATGGTGTGTGTATAGGCCGCAATAAAGTGTGCAATAGACTTGATGAATACATGTTGACTGTCAATCATTATTTGTTTTGTACCTTCAGTGTGACAATGGTGTGTGTATAGGCCGCAGTAAAGTGTGCAATAGACTTGATGAATACATGTAGACTGTTAATTATTATTTGTTTTCTACCTTCAGTGTGACAATGGTGTGTGTATAGGCCGCAGTAAAGTGTGCAATAGACTTGATGAATGTGGTGACAAGTCTGATGAGGCTGGGTGTAGTAAGTACACGTAATCTCATTAATTAACTCATTATGGTCAGTAGAGTTACAGATTTTAGTTTTAACAATCTTAATCAATATTTAATACACTTAAATAGACTTAATAGACTATGACTTTTTTAAATGATTTTTGATTGCCATGGTAACATGAAAAAATATGAGAAATTTAGATTTTTCTACATCATATATATACTGCCATCAAGCTTATTTTACTTTTCGATTCAATTTCTGTTTTCAGTATCCAGATCAAGCTGTGCAATAAACAATGGAGAATGTACCCATAAATGTACAAATGGGCATAATGGCGCCATCTGTGCTTGCCCCATTGGGTATGAACTCCGGAGCGATCGTAAAATGTGTGAGGATTTTGATGAGTGTGCAATAGATGGCACCTGTAGTCAACTGTGTACCAATATGCCGGGATCGTATGAGTGCTCGTGTGTGAGGGGATATACACTGAAGCCAGATGGACGTGGTTGCAAGGCTTTAGGTTAGTAATGTATTGATAAATTATAATACAATTATAGACCTATCCACAGGTAGACAAGGCAAATTGTATACCTCCTCTGTACTTGGAGATTTCATTCATTGTTGTCTGAGATCATTATCAAGGCAAGGAAGTGTTCTTCTCAAAGTTAAATTAAATATGCCATATTTATTTTTCATGATTTTTATCAGCAGTGCCCATTGGCTTTAGAACTGAGAGATCACTACTTTGTGTGGTGCCTACCTCCTATTAATTGATTATATGTCAGTGACTACTTTGAGTTGAATGAGATAGCAAAGCAGAAAGACTTTGACAGAATGCCTTGAAAAATACATTGTTATCCCATTCACATATGCTTTGCATTGGCCTTTGAAACCAGTAATCACTGAATTTATATTTTAAAAGATCCTCCTGCACAGTGTCATGATACCCTCAGGGCTAACAGCTATCATGTTTATGCTATTAGGTGGGGAGGCATATCTGATATTTGCCAATCGTGTTGACATCAGAAAAGTGCTTCCTGACAAATCAGAGTATACCTCAATCCTACAAGGACTGGAGAATGCAATAGCACTAGACTTCCACCTGGAGAAAGGTAAATGATATACAGTATTACAATTCTGTTTGAAAAAATCAGCTAGCTTTAGATATGTAAAATTTATATACATGAAGAAGTGTTCGTACATGGCATCGATGTGTGCACAACAATCTTTTTTAAATCTTGTGCTTTAATATTCTATGATACATTAAACTCTTTATGGTCAGTAGAAGAGATATAATTATGGAATAAAGATGGAGCTTATATGATTAATGACATGATATATAACCAAACGTTTTATTCTGTTCATTGTTAGATGGCAATGGGCAAAAAAAATCTGGGGTGATAGAATCAAAGTCTTTGTTACGTTTTTAATATGATAAAAGTATACCATCGTTACAGACATTACACATGCTCTTATAATCCAATTTAATTATTATGTTATTGTTTTAAGGCCTGATGTTCTGGACAGATGTGACATTGGATAAGATCAAGAGAGCTTACATCAATGGTACAGGTGTCATGGAGATAATTAACACAGGACTTGAAAGCCCAGGTAAAATAATGTTGATTTTATTGACGTTATATGCAAAAGGGCTCAGGTTTAAGCTACATATGGTATTCAGTTCACACACCGAGATTCATTCTTGATTCATTTTTGATGTATTTTTCTCATTAGATACTTTTGATGATAAAACTCAAGAACCTCTTTAACTTACCTGCTATTGTGTTAAGTCTGCTGATGTGGATAATAAGCCCAAAATCATGAAAGTGTGCTAACTCATGTTCATAAACAATTTGTGCAGCAATTTCATTTTTACAAAACCTTTTAATATAGGTGGCATTGCTGTAGACTGGGTTCAGGATAAGATATTTTGGACAGACTCTGGCACGTCACGGATTGAAGTGTCAAACTTAGATGGCTCACACAGGAAGGTACTCATATGGCAACATCTGGCAAAACCTCGAGCAATCGCTGCCCATCCGGGAATGGGGTAAGAAGATTACAAAACTTAGCTCTAGATTAAACATTAAAACTTTAGCGTGTGAGTTTTTTGAATTCTTGATATATATGGTGCTACTGTACTGGTACATGTACTTTCTGCTATTCATGTATCAGAAGTTGGTCCCAACTTTACTTTTTCCCTGTATGTCTACATGCATACATATGTATTTAGGTGTTTTTCACCTGTTTTGGAGATGGGTTGTTTGTTGTCCTTCCATATTTCTTTAATATAAATTTTGCTAGCCAGGTTTTTATCCTTTTCCAAACCTGCCCTCATGTCCATCTTAGTAACATTGATTCTAATTTATTACAGGGTCATATTCTGGACTGACTGGGGCGAGAATCCAGCACCTAAAATTGAGCGATCAACCATGGATGGACGGGAACGTCATACAATTGCTGATCGCTCCCTCTTTTGGCCAAATGGTTTAACTATCGATTATGCATCATCCAAGATATACTGGGCAGATGCTAAACACCATGTAATAGAATGTGCACATTTAGATGGGACGAACAGACGAGTTGTTATTGACCAAGGTATGCACAAATAGTAACTGAATAAATTGATGGAAATACAATGTATCTATAAATCACAAAGGGCAACAATGGAAAGACATAAATGGACAAACTGATGACTTCAATTTATTAAATGAGAATATTTATTGTAGAAATATAATTTTATCCAGTTGCATTATTGACTTCTCTCATTTGAAGAGCTGTGACTTAAGTCAATCCTTTGTACATGTGGGTTACATGTATTTAAGACCTATAACGAATCTGGACTAGGCCTGTCCCGAATTAACCATTGGTAGATTAAAACCATAACATGACCCTGTCACCATAACAACCACTAGATTGCCTTGAAATTACCTTGACAATATTTGGAGGTGAATTTATCTGACCCAAATGGCAAGCAATGTTTTACTTAACTTAAGCAGTAATGCAAGTTAAATCAGATTTTGTTGCACCACAAAAAGTGTACACAATACCATTTTCTTTCAAGGTCTTCCCCACCCATTTGCCCTAACAATATTTGAAGATGAGCTTTACTGGACAGACTGGCATACAAAGAGTATTTATAAAGCTAACAAGTTCCATGGTAACAGCAAGGAGACTGTCAGAAACAGACTGCATTTTCCCATGGACATCCATACATTCCATCCCCAAAGGCAGCCACCCAGTAAGTACATGTATACAGGTGTACATTTATACATAAACAATTTAGGAAGAATATAGTTGATGTTGCATAAGAATGGACAACCCAATCAAAAGATACAGCAATGAGTTCATTTCTTGATCAGTGCAAAGTATAATGCTTTCGCCTGTTTTGTGACATCTTGATTGTTCAAATCATCACTTTGTTTCGACTTGGGGATTAATTTGAAAATTAAATGTTCTGTTTCAGTGACCAACAAGTGTGGGGCAAACAATGGGGGTTGTAGTCACCTGTGCCTACCCAACTTAAGTGGCTTTGTATGTGATTGTGCTACAGGGTTCAAACTGTTGCCAAATGGCCAGAATTGTGCTGAAAGTAAGTCATAATACCATAGTAACGTTGTTTTGGGATTTATGGAGTTTTGGCTCCATTTTGAGTTGAAATATGTTCTATATAATAAGATTCTTAAATATGTTGTTCCAGTATTAGATGTCAGTGTTTTAGGGTGGGTTTAATTTTTTGATATGTCAGGTTCAAGTCAGTTTTGGATCCAGTATTTTATAGTAATTCATTTATGGCATCTCCTGTTTTTGTCAGATTGTGATTCATTCCAGTTACAATTAGACAGTGAGGTATGTTCGTGAACTAGAAAAGTGAGTATCGTGTAGTTTAAATCGTATGCATATGTGTTTTAGATCTTAGCAGCTTCCTATTGTTTGCACGTCGTAGTGACATCCGACGTGTTTCATTCGACACAGCTGACACATCTGATGTTGTGATCCCTGTGACTGGATTACGAAGTGCAGTTGCTCTTGACTGGGAGTCGGCAGGGGATTACGTTTACTGGTCTGATGTGACAGGTGATAGCATAAGCAGGGCTCGCTGGGATGGATCAGGTCAACAGGTATATTACATTTATGCATATATGCTTAAATCATTCTTAAAAGGCTTAAAATAAAGAATATATCATAAAGGGAGGGATTGTATATAGAGTTTATCCTAAAGGTTATCAGGGTTACATCTATGCGCACTGAAGGATGATCGTAATATACAAATCAGAAAAGAGGGTGACCTTTTTATCCAATGCTCTTAACGATATTTGCTCAGAACATAATATGCTGACATGATACAGTAAAATGAAAATATTTTTTTTATGTCACCACCAAATGTGGTGACATATTGTTATGGTCTATATTTTTTGTGATTGCGGTTTGCATGGGGTTCGGCATCTGTATTAAATGGCAGGTGGTGACATTTTGCAAGTTAATGCCTTGTTTTAAATTCCAAAAGAAAAATAATTGATAATTCTTAAAAAGTTAGTCAATAAAAATATATTTGAGATGGATATGTAGTACTGTATGTCATTTTTATGTCACCACTCAGAAGTGACATTTTGTCCAATTCAATACCATATTAGAATAGAGTATATACACACTATATAAATTTACAGGTGGTTGTGGGGACTAACTTAGAGAGTCCAGCTGGTCTGGCTATAGACTGGGTCAGTAAGAAGCTCTATTGGACTGATGCAGGCACAGACAGAATAGAAGTATCCAATCTAGATGGAAGCATGAGAAGTGTACTGATACATGAGAACTTGGATAGACCTCGGGATATCATTGTAGACCCAATTGGAGGGTAAGAAACCACCTTACCAAAATATCAATGTAGGCCAAACCCAGCCCCATACCCAGCTTTTGCCAACCGGGGTTCATTTTTCTAAAAAAAATTTCAGGGGGTTTCACATTTGATAAATTTGGCACAAAATCTCTTGAAAACTGCTCAAAATGGTAAAAAATGCATGATTTTGAAAGGAATTTCTGTCCGAGGGGGATTCTCTCGAATCCCAAAACTACTGGCGTCAGGCCTGAAATCATGCACAATTGATTGGTCCTAATAGTAAATCCTTAGGTAGATAACTGATATAAGTGAGAAAAGCAATGTTTGTAGTCTTGCATCATGTCTCTTACCTTATCTTGTCTGATAAGCCTTTTAAACTTTTTCTGCATTCTAGGTACATGTACTGGACAGATTGGGGCGCAACACCCCATATTGAGAGAGCAGGTATGGATGGAATAGGACGGGAGGTTGTGATTGGTCAGAATTTAACATGGCCCAATGGACTGGCTATAGACTACAAGAACTCTAAGCTGTACTGGGCTGACGCTGGCTTGAAAGTCATTGAATTCTCAGATCTTGATGGGCAGGGGAGAACGGTAAGCAAACATTTTCTAGTTAAATGAACTACAGTACTTCAGAATTTTTTCATTTATTTGAATTTATTTCAATATATTATACAGACTCTTGCTTATTTTATTTTTGCATATTCATTCCATTACACTTGCATCCTTCCTCAAACTTTTGATAAGTCCTACTGTATCTTTACCAACTGGTATGATCAATCGAGTAATATACTCAAGGAATTGTACTATTTTTCAGGTTCTCATAGGTGCTGACCTACCCCATCCATTTGGCTTGACTCTTCATGAGGACAAGGTCTACTGGACTGACTGGGTCACCAAGAGCATACAAATGGCCAACAAGGTGGATGGATCAAGGCGCGAGACTCTACGAGAGAATCTGGAGCACCTCATGGACATCCACATGTTCCACAGGAAGAGAAAATCAGGTAGGTACACACGTGTTACTATCAACATTTTTTCAAGTTATGGGTTCTTTAAGTTGAATGAAACAAGGCTAACTGGAATATAAAGGGATCACACCTTGATGTATTCTTCTTTTTAGAAAGGAATTTCTATTTATGCTGTATTGTTTCAGTGAGCGTTTAAGTATCTCCTTTCAAATAAATTCTGATCTTAATGAAAGTAGGGTATATTGACCAGATTAATAATCCCCAGGCCTGCCGCCAACTTTTGCAAAGGGGTTCACTTTTCAGAAAAATTCCATGGGCAGTTCACTTTGGCAAATTTGGCCCAAAATCACATGGATACTCAGAATTGTAAAAAACTGCATGACCTTAGTCATTGTACATTTCAGTGCCAAGCATGTGTAATATAAACAATGGTGAATGCAGCCATTTGTGCCTGATAGCCCCACTGGAGCGTGACAGGAGTTGTAGTTGCCCTACTGGTGTCCTGCTGAAGTCTGATGGTAGAACTTGTGAAGACGGTATGTAGATATTACATCATTTTATGGAAATAAAATATGAAAATATTGCTGGCTATGATATTGAAGTACAACTTTTTCACAATTTGCAATGGAGTATAAATTGTAATGGGTTGCCTTTTGAATGTGGGTGGAGGGGGATGTTCAATTCGTGTTAGATTTTGAGATATTGGGGGTTGTTTTCCTTATGACTGATTTTGCTCTTGGATGTTTCTTTTTTCTTGCTGTATTTTGTAATGTTCTTTGATCTTTGCCCTTTTGACCCTTGTGCTTAAATGAATCTAGTGTCAATGCTAGAAAAGAAAATCTTGTTTCAGAAATGATGGATGATTTTTTATACCTTCATATTTTTCAGGAATGTCAAACTTCCTGATATTTGCACGCAGAACTGACATCCGTCTCATCTCATTGGATGTCAACTACTACTCGGATGTCGTACTTCCTGTTGGAGAGCTAAGGAATGCTATTGCAATAGATGTAGACCGCAAAGATAGTGAGTATTGAATAGATATAGGCTTTTGAATTACATTACTATTGAAGATTCACAATTAGTAACATTTTTTTATGAAGATGTGCTTTTCTGAATATATGAATGTCTTGAAAATCTGTTTACAATGAGAATAGAAAATTATGTTTAACTCAATGATTATCTTACATTTAAACAATTTTCACCTTTTGGTCTAAGCTAGTGATGATAAATAAATAGATTAACAAGTTATGAAATGAAAAAACTCTCCTTTTTAGGGAAAATCTACTGGTCAGACAGCGTACTTGACAAAATTCAGCGATCCAACTTAGATGGCTCAAATGTTGAAGACATCATATATGACGGCCTACATACGACTGATGGTCTTGCCATTGACTCTGCGGGACGTAAGATGTACTGGACCGATACAGGGAGTAATAGGATTGAGGTCGCAACCCTCGACGGGAAATTGAGAAAAGTTTTGATCTGGGAGAATGTGGACAATCCAAGAGCACTGGCGTTACATAATGATGCAGGGTAGGTGCTTGTATTACAAATGTTGACTGTGTTTTTAGTGTAGAATAGTTGAATAGAGTGTAACATGTGGCATGCGTGACATTATAATTGTATTTTGGTTGAACCAAAGAGCAGTTCATATTGAAATTTTTGAGCCAGGTAATGAGCTCACATTATTTATCACAATGTGGCCTTTTCATATGCAAAAAAAAACATTTAGTGGCACATGAGATATGATATTCTGTTTTTAAGTATGGTTAAATTTTATCAAGCATTTGCATTGTATTTACACTATACTTTTACATGAAAGTAGTATATGTTTTTTTTTCATTTTCTATTATATTGCAGACCTCACAAATAGTTTTATTCACTTTAGGTACATGTACTGGTCAGACTGGGGCCAGGAACCGCGCATAGAGAGGGCAGATATGGATGGGGGGAACAGACTGGTGATCATACGGGACAACCTGGGATGGCCTAATGGTCTTACCATAGATAGACCCACAAATAGAATAATATGGGCAGATGCTAGGACTGAGGTAAGACCATAGATAGACCCACCAATAGAATCATATAGCTGAAATGTACAGTAAATTTACTATTATAGCAAACTCTACAGAAAAGACAAGGGGTGCCATTTAGACACAGAAAACATTTTAAACACTAAAACAATATAACAATACAAATATAACAATAAACAATACAAATCAATTAAACCAATTTTAGATGTTAGTCGATCACCCATTTCTTGTTTATTTTCAGGTTATCGAGGTCTCAGATCTTAGTGGAGCTAACCGTAGAGTCCTGATAAGTGGCACCCAGCACCCATATGGCCTGACTGTGTCTGGGAACTGGATTTACTGGACTGATTGGCAGTCTAAGTCCATTGAGAGAGTCAACAAGTTCACTGGGAAGGACAGGTTTACTGTGAGAGGCTCTCTGTCTGGGCTCATGGATTTACATGCAGTGCAAGTTGATAACTATGGTAAGTTCAGAATGCATGCTACCTCTTTTGACATGCATTTATAATAAAACTTTTCATATTTTCATCATATAGATCACAAAACATGATATACAGTATCTATTCTCTTTAATGAGCGCACATTTCCAAGACGCACATATGACTTTTATGTCAAATATGGTCTCGAGAAAACACGAAGTTTACCTTAGTGATAACTTCTAAAAAGATAAATGGCGATATTTTAAAAAAAATATTTTGTATGTGTGCTTATTGGAATCTCTCAATATCTTATCCTCTTAATTTGGAAACTACACTATGTGCTCATTAGAGAGAATATGGTAAATAGGAATCGTGAGCAAAGACTTGAAATTAATGAACATGAATTATATCTTATTTTTGGCAACGTTTATGTTCTAGGTACTAATAAATGTGGTTCCAACAATGGGGGGTGTAGTCACCTGTGTCTGCCCAACCCCAGGGCCTTGAGCTGTGCCTGTCCCACAGGCCTCCTGATGAAGGAAGATGGCAAGACATGTGAAACTAGTAAGTATACTAAGCATTGTATTATGACCAGCCCCACAACCAGTAAGATTCATTTTGTTTGAGACATTGATTCAATATTTGCTAAAATATTTCAATATTTGCTGAAATATTTCAATATTTGCTGAAATATTTCAATATTTGCTAAAATATTTCAATATTTGCTAAAATATACATGCAGATCCCTTCAGAGCATTGTAAATTGGAACAACATATAGAATGACAATAGCTCACCCATATGAGCTCATAAATTCTATGATAAAACATGGAGAGGTTGGCCATGGGTTTGGAAATGTGTAATGTAGAGACACCATCGAAAACAGAAGTCATGAGGGAGAACACTTGTTACGCTTGTTACGCTCGTATATGGGGTTAATTTGAATGACTTTAGGTGATCTTGTTGTAAAATGAAACAAAATCACTGTATAGCATATTTGTCAGCACTGAATGAATGTATCAAAACTATCTCCCTGTTTCAGTGCCCAGGGACTATCTCCTATTTGCCAGCAGGGCCAGTATAAGGCGTATTAGTATGGATACTCCAGACAACACAGATGTTACCATACCCCTCACTGATCTACACAATGTCATTGCTCTGGACTATGATCTTAAAGAGGGGAAGATATATTACACTGATGTCTATTTGGATGTGATAAGGTGAGATTACTTTTCATATGATTCACTTGTATTTTCTGGTCTCTGAATAATTGCAGTATTGTTTTTCTAGCCTCCAACTTTTCTGAGACTGAAATTCAGTACTCTGCATTAGGTTGTCAGTATTCAGTGTCTGGAACAAATGTTATACTTTTGTGGTCATTTGCAATAACTTTAAAATTGACTTGAATGTTTTTCCAGGAGAGCCAACCTTAATGGGTCAAAGGTTGAGAGTGTCATAGACCAAGGGTTAACAACAGCTGATGGCATAGCAGTTGATTGGGTCGGAAGGAACCTTTATTGGACAGACACCGGACGTAACGTCATAGAGGTTGCCTTGTTAGATGGCACATGTAGGAAAACTCTTATTGAGGTTAACCTGGATGAACCAAGAGCAATTGCATTGTTTCCAAGGAAAGGGTATGTTGGTTTTTACGATGATTTTGTAAATGTGAGAAATTGTACTTGGCAACAATGAAAAAGCACAGATAACCCTCGATCTCTTTAAGAAGTGAAAAAATAAAATAAGCAGTGAAAATTAATTCCAATGCAAAATAGCTCAAAACTAGATTGAACATTTTTCAACAAGAATTAGTATTTATCAAATGACTCTTTGTGTGCTTGATTTTGTCATAATATTACATCTCTTTCTTTGTAATTCCCCTCATATTGAATTAGTTTATATTTGACCATTTCAAATGCATTTATTTCAATAATTCTTTTTCAGCTTGATGTTTTGGACAGATTGGGGTAAAGTGCCAAAAATTGAGCGTTCTTTCCAAGATGGCTCCAATAGAAAGGCAATTATAGATGATAATCTTGGATGGCCTAATGGTCTCTCAATAGATTATGATATGCGACGTATCTATTGGGCAGATGCGCAGTTTGATCGTATCGAGACTGCGGATTTGAATGGCAACAATCGAGTGCATCTGTTGGAGCAGGTCGACCACCCATTTGGTCTGACAGTGGTAGGTTTATGAATGATATTCTATTCTTCATTTCAAACCATTTTTTTTTTGTTCATTGCATTCACAGTTTGAGATAAATATTTGAGACCTGTATCCAATTAGTTTTGAGCTGATTGTTTGAGGAAAAATAACATAGCATCGGGCCTGTAATTTGATTTTGCCAAATATGTTCGAAATCTTTTTGACCATCCCCGATTGTATAGTTATTAAACTTACTATGTATAGGTTGTTGTGTCTTGAGTTCTCTTTCACTGACCTGTATGCAAAATATTCTTCTCTTATATATTCCACTAAGAGCTGTTATTGTTCAGCACCTTCTTGTTTCTGTTTGCAGTGTCCCATTGTTTCAATGAGAGAGAGATCGCTCATTCATTGTACCCATTGTTATTCTTTCAGTTTGGAGACTATGTATATTGGACAGACTGGCAGAAGCGTGCCATAACTCGCTGTGATAAACTCACTGGTAAACATTCCACAATCGTCCAGGGCAACATGGATGGTCTCATGGACATACACGTTGTCTCTGCGTCACGCCAAATGGGCACAAATGGCTGCAGTATAAACAATGGCGGCTGTACACATTTATGTCTCGCTCGGCCTAACGGTTACACATGTGCATGTCCAGACTCTCCAGACACAAGGCCTTGCTCAACAGGTATATAGTATACAATTGTTCACCTCTTCAGGAGTTGACAGTATACAATTGTTGACCTCTCCAGAGGTCAACCGGCAAAATTGTATACCGAGACTGTAAACCGAGAAACTACTGTTGACAGAGACCGAAGGTCGAGGTCAACAGTGTTTCAAGGTTTACAGTCGAGGTATAGGATTTTGACGGTTGACCGAATGGAGAGGTCTACAATTGTTTTGTTAGTCAGAAGTAACTAATAATACTCATATATACGACAGTCATCAATCATGGCTTCATTTCACAATCTTTTCTACGAACCATGCCAGCAATAATTTTTAAGAAAATCTGAAGACAGTGGAAGCTAAACTCTCTGTTTTTGGCACATAACTGCGTACTCACTAGTAAATTAATGTTAATTTTGCGTTTCTATTTGTATTGTTGCTATACTCGTCATGTAGGAAAGTCAAAATATCACTTTCATCAACGTGTACAAAATGTCCGACTACCATGTTTTTTTCTGTAAACATTGTGACGTCATATTTCCCATAATTCACAAGTGTAGTACAGTAACATACGCGGTCAATAATATGATATCCCATGATGCACAAGTGAGGTACAGGCAAAAATGTTGACTGCTAATTGACCAATCAGATGCGAGTATTTACACTGAGGTACTAACAATAATAATTATATCCCTCACACTGTAAACTGAGACAGCATGTTGAGGTCCTTTCCAAGTGGAAGAATTTTGATTTGACACCCAAGTGGACATATTGAAACTCGGCTAAAATGGTTTGACTTTCACGCAAATATGAATATTATTGGTGTTGTTGTATTATATAACTTATCAAGATGAAAAAATGTGTTTATTTTCTATTCAATATTTCTTGTTTCTGTTCCATTTTCAAATAATACTTTGTTATGTTGATTTGTTAATGCTGCCATAGGCTATACACATGTCATAGACAATGTGAAGGATTGGTTTGATATCAGCCATGGTAAGAATTACAGAGTTAGTTATATGTAAACTGATTAACATGTGGATATTGCATTACCTCTGATATGATATGTGCAAAATAATAAGTCACCATCTATTATTGAATGAAGTTACACATAGCCTAACATATCTATAAGCCATGAATTGTCGATTCTTGTATATATAATTTGAGTTCAACTTAAAAAAAGCTTTTAGATGACAGTGAATTATAAAAAATATGAAGACCTAGGTTATCAACAGAACAGACTTCTGAGTTCATATTTTGACAAGCTCATGAAAAAAACTTCTTTTTTAACAAGTTTAGAAAAATAGATATTATAAGCTGACAACTGCACTAATACAGTTGAGGCACCAATGCCTGTAAAATACCATATCCAAGCTAATTCATATAACATCTATTCCAGTCCCCACTATAAATGGTGTGCCACGACCACGCCCATCAGGCACTGACAAGGGCTTTGAAGACTATGAGTATGGAACTGATTGGAACGAAGGTTATGATTTCTCACCAGGTGATACAGATCAAAATACATTGTAAGTGCATCTGTTAATTCCTAGTCTCAAATTATAATATACATACAACGTTGTACATACTATAAAGCCTTTCTAATCTGAACACCGCTAGGACAAGCCAAAAGTGTTCAAGTTGGTAGATCTCCACATTTCTAGGATTGTTAACATGAAGTCTGTTGCAAATTAAAAATATGGAACCAAAATGTCCATATTGAGCATTGTTCAGGTTAGAGTGGTGTTCGGTTATACAGGTTTTAATATAATGTCAACTAAAGAGATCCTCATTAACCTGATTATCACCAGTTTGGATTTGTTAATCATGATGATATGATATGTTGATAATAGCATCCAATTGAAATTGTTAACCTTTTAACTAATAAATCCTCTTTTTTACAGATGTAGTGAAGAAAACAGACGAAAAGGCAAGTGCAATAGTCTTGAGTCTAAAACTTCTCAGAATTCAACAGGTGTTCATGGTGCGTACATAGGTCTCGCTGTCATCCTTGGTGTAGCAATAATAGGAATTATAATCTTCTTGCTGGTATGGAGAAGGTATGTATAGTGTTTCTTAGTATGTCACATTTTACAACCCTTGGTAAGAGCTTGACTTTATTGGCCCTCTTTAATTTGCCTGTATTCCATTAGAATATTGTTCATATTTTGACTTCGGATTTCACCGACAAGTTTCTGCCTATTTTGGCTTACATTCATGAATATACCTTTCTAATAAATCCTGATCCTTTTGTTGAACCAAAGAAACAAGGTATATTGGCTACATTTATGATGTCATACCTTGCAGAAAGTAATGTTTTTAAACACAATTTAAATGAGTTTTCGAACAACAATTTAACAATATTTCTGCACTGAAACTGTAAGAATGACATCATAACCAATTGATGGCACTGTAAGAATGACATCATAACCAATGGATGGCACTGTAAGAATGACTTCATAACCAATAGATGGCATTGTAAGAATGACTTCATAACCAATAGATGGCATTGTAAGAATGACTTCATAACCAATAGATGGCATTGTAAGAATGACATCATAACCAATAGATGGCATTGTAAGAATGACATCATAACCAATAGGTGGCATTGTAAGAATGACATCATAACCAATAGATGGCATTGTAAGAATGACATCATAACCAATAGGTGGCATTGTAAGAATGACATCATAACCAATAGGTGGCATTGTAAGAATGACATCATAACCAATAGGTGGCATTGTAAGAATGACATCATAACCAATAGGTGGCATTGTAAGAATGACATCATAACCAATAGATGGCATTGTAAGAATGACATCATAACCAATAGGTGGCATTGTAAGAATGACATCATAACCAATAGGTGGCATTGTAAGAATGACATCATAACCAATAGGTGGCATGATTCACTGAATAAGACTATTGAAGATTGTTTGAAGGTTGTTTTTCATATATTCCAGACATAAGAGACGTCGAAGGGCCATGGATCCAACACTTATATTCTCTAATCTCACATATATGAAGAGTAGCAGTGATTCCGTAGATATAGATAGACGTAGTGCAAAGAACCAGAGGTTACTCAAATATGATAAAAAAGAGGTTTGTCCTTTCTTATTACTAGTATATCTTTATCATTTATTGTTTATTGTTTTTGGCATTCATATTATAATATGCAAGTCATCATGCGATCACCATACATGGAGAATTATCTTTTTTATGTTATCTGGTAATTTTTCAATAAATATCGCGTATGAACAAAGAAGAAACAAATCACTATCTATCTATTCATATATCATATATATTCAAAGTTAAGTCACTCATTTAATTTCAATATTTTTCAGATTTAATGTATTTTATGTGTTAATGTATTGCTCAATGTATTTAATATGTTTCAGGAGAGGCTAACTATATTACCAGCCAAACCTAAAGACTCTGTAAAGCACAACGAGCGAGAGGTAGTGTCTTTAATGAAAAGCACTGAAGCAATTGTAGACTGTTCTACCCCTCCCACCCCTCCTCCACCCTTACGTCATGACTCAAAACTTATTTTCAAAACCAGGAGTGATTCAAACTTACGGAATGTTAACAGTGACAGTGATTATGGTGACAAAGAGGAAGTGATATATGAATCTATAGAAGGCATGGAAACGCAGATATAGCTATTTAAGTTGTTATTGTTGTTGCCATGGAAACTATCTATGGAAACCACTCTTGGTATTTAAGCGATTTGGGTGACTAAGAAGGAGTAGTATATGAATCTAAGGAATGAAATCTATGAGAGAAATGGAAAGATATAGCTATTCATGTTTCTGTTACTATGGAAACCACCATTGCTATGGAAGCCATTGTTGCTACATAAGAGAATGATTTGCCATTATTGAAGTGACTATGCAACTAGAATTAGCATAACATTGCAATAGTTAACAGTAAAACAACTGATGGGCGAGAATTTGTCATAGTTAAACTGAAAGCAACAAATATAAGGAAGATTATCAACAATGTAAAAATTGTTGTCATGGAGACTAAGTGATATTATTAGAGTCTCTTAAATCTGATACACTATTGATCATATTTCTGGAACATTGAATTAAACATCATTGTAGGATTATTTATTTTGCGATAATATTTTATAAATTAAGATTTCCATTTATATGATCAATGGTACAGATTGGCTATCTCACATGTGGCCGTTAAAAAACAATGTTGCATATATTTATGAAGTAATATATTTGAAATACTATTACATATTTTGTATCCTTTATTTGTACATTTGTTGTAAGCTATTGTAAATAGTGCATATCACATCACATTTGTATTCTAATAAGACCGACTTAAAGATATTTTTGTTTTAAAAAATATCTTGACATTTTGTGAATCTTATGAACATACGATTTTCATGTTAGTATTAATTTATATTTGAATTAATTCTAGGCTATTAAATTGTGATACCTTTTACATTTGTAGAAATTGTTTATTTTTGAATATTTGAAGTAAAATGTTGAACGAACGTTATGAGTGTTTTTGCTTTAAATATGACATTATTTTCTTCATTAATGACTTTAATGACTTTGAAACTGACTCAATACACTCCATACATATGAATTTGAATATTAAGACGAAATCCAAAATTTGATGAGTAAACGGTGCAGTATTCCTTGAATGAGTTGACAGTCAACACCATATAAGGAAATAAAAGTGGAATTTGTCACAGTTTGAAATGTAAAAAGTGTTAACATGTTAATGCACATAAACGACAGTGTGTGTGCCCATATATGGTGCTGAAACTGATGAATTAGAACACTTCATGTTTAAATTGTATTTTTATTTATGTTGTAAATGGTTGTTAATTGTGTTGTAAATGGTTGTTATTTTGTTGTAAATGTTAATGCTACTGCTTTACTTTCTTGGTTACCCTGTATTTTGTCATCAAATCATAGAAAATACATTTACCTACCGTAAGTGTGACAATCTAAAACTTGCATTTACATTTTTCACAAAATATACTCGAAGAACTAGGACATCTATTTATTTATTTCCATGTATATTTTAGTGGGATGGTGTATTTTATACTTCTAAACAACCATATTTGTCATACAACCATATTAGGGGTGTATGTTTGTTTTAATGTTACAAATATAAATTGTAAAAATGTAAATAAGAATCATCAATCATGCAACCTCATAATGTACAAAGATCATTTCATATATTATGTATAGTGTATATAGTGTAAAGCAAATTATAGACTAGCCTAAAGAGAATAAATAAGAAAAAAAAACAATACTGAATAAGAGACAGTGTTATGTGTGATTCGTAGCATTTGAGTATTATAACTAGGAGTAGAATAAGAGGGGATTAACCCCAGAGTTCAAAGATGACAAACGCTTATAATGTAAACCTGTATTGAGATGACCCACGTCTCTGATTGGTCAAAACGACAAACAAAAATGGCGGATTCAAAATTTTCTAATAACGCTTCGAATAATATTATGTTAATTTCTGGCGTGTTAACCAATATCATAGCTTGTTATTTCACATCAAGATAAAGAAAGATGTTAGGAACATGCTTACATCGATTTAAAGATGACAATGGCGCGTTAGATTCGAAAACCAACTGGTGAAAATTTGCGCAAACGAAGGTGGTACGCAAGAGACGTAATATGTCTGTCATCGGTAAAGCTCTGGGGCTTCCCTCCTCTTGAGTAGAATTAGAACATGCATATTGACAGCCAACCAAACAGATTTACATATACGGGATCACCATTTGAGCCCAGAGTGGTGCCATATTTAGTATTAAAAGGGCGGTCTCTAAAATCACTTATTTTCAACAGACTTTTCTTTCCAGAAAATACCAAGGCCACTTGAGAAAATTGCTCTCTTGTCTGCTGGACAAAGTAGAAAGTAATAAGCACTAACCCCTAATTATTTAAAAATATGAAATACATCCCATTATAACTAAGTGTTTCTATGAGAAAAGTTAAATCTGATTTTTACATGGGATCCAATGAGGAAGTAACATCCCTACTTTTTTTGACACTTTTTGGGTCTCTTGCTTAGAAAAAAGCACACAAACAAATAGTTTTTGAAGTTGTAATATTATTTGTTGTCTGTTAAAATCTCAGCAAACTATGTTGAAGAAATAATTAAAGGCAGAGAGAAAATGGGGGGAAAACATCTAAATTCTCCCAAATAATAAAAATGGTATCCATTCTTATAGGCAAAAATTTGCATTATTGTAAAAATCTTTAGTTTTCCTCAGGTAAAGTATACACTTGGGGTATTTTTAGAAAATAGACATGACAAGGAATGAAATGAGCCCAAAATACTCTAAATTGAAACAATTTTCATCAAGATGAAGCACAAAGTAATTGCTATAGCTGATTCTGCCTTTAAAATACTATTTCAAAAAAATACCTCCAGAGAACATCCATGTATAATTCTAAAATAAATGATGTACAAAACAATATGATAATATATGTTCAAAATTCATTTATTACACATAGATAGACATATACAAAGTATTGCATTCCTTTACAAATATGATACCATGGTGGTCCTGAAGGCTGTTGTGACAAATGTATGAGAAATGTCATGAAATACATGAGAAAATGCATGAAAAACCATGAAATGCAGAGATTGCGTGAATTCACTTGAAATATGCGTGAAATGCATGTATTTCCAAATTGATATCATATCCCATGCATAAAACCATTGAATAAAAGGATGATCCTTCAGATTAAATGAGATTATGAAACAGGCATGAAATATGATTACAGTGTTTGAGAAGACATGAAATGCGTGAGAAAAGACCTGAAAATTGGGAAATGTCACGAAGAAGACATGAGAGAGAGTGGACATCCAAGACCACCATGTTGTGCATGTAAAAGTGATTGAATTATGTGAGTATAAAAATAAAGCTGTAGCTGGCTCCAATCATCCCCTTTCCTCCTGAATCGGATTCATTTCAACCTCATTTAGGCTATTTAGCCTCATTTAGACCATTTAGCCTCATTTAGGCAAGTCTTTTAAAAATGATAAATACCAGCCAAAAGGTTGTTACATGAGCTCTGATCTATCAAAATCAGTTTCACACACCATTCAATTTTTAAATGTTTCATTGATGGCTTTAGGAGAAAAATTTTGAAATGAAGCTCGTAAATGTAAGAAGGTCAAGAAGGGTTGGAGTGATTGATGAGAAACAGTGGGAGGGGGTATCTTGAGTGCAGAAATACAATGTGTGTCTTGGCCATTGCAATATTGCACAACTATCATGAAAGTATTGCACTGCTTGCTTTTATTAGGTACAATCACACAAGATACCCCAAAGTCTCGCATCTTCCCTCACTTTCCCCTGGACATGTTGAATGCCATATCTTCCAAATATATTGAATGACAATCAACTATATCAAATTGTGCCCAAATGATCTTGAGGCAATAAACAATTTTATTTTATTACAATAAACAAACTGTGAAAGACAATTGAAATTCAGTAACATTATGCTCTATGGCAATTACTCAAAGCAGCCAATTGGTGGTTGAGGGGTTAAGTGGTTAGAGATAGGGCAAGGGGGCTTGATGCAAGACTTCCCATTTAGGCATATAGGCAAAGGGTAAGAGGTTTACATGGATAGCTACTCTAGGAAGATGATGTGGGTCCTGGAATGCCACCCAAAATAAGAAAACAACTTAAGATGGCCATTATGATGAATGAGAACTGAATCTTGTGAAAAGTGGAACTAAAATGATGAAAATGCATCAAATTAATGAAAATAAAGGAAAATGAAATAAAAAGACTAAAATTGATGAGAAATGTTTTATATGCATTATAATATGACAACTGAATGTCTCAGCTATGTACAGTACATGCATACATGTATGCAGGCAGCCTGAGCTGAACAGAAAGTAAAATAGCCTTACATGTCGTAGATTTTCAAATAGACTTCCTTAGATTTCCAACACCTGTGAGAATATATTACACTGTACTATATGATTAACAAGTTCAATATCATGGCAAGTCAGATGCTTCGTGATAGTTTCAAGCAACTGTCCAATTCAAGGAAAATAGAAATAATTTTGAAATTTGAACACACACTTTTTGATATTGCAAATGTAGTTAACAATATACATGTATTTGGTATTTACAAAAAAACTGGTCTTTTGAATAGTAAGATGAAGCAAATAATGCATGAATGATTTTATGAACTATACTTAGCAACGTTTGATTCTAGCATGTGTTAAAGCCCATAAATACAGCTTCCTACTAAGTAACCAACCACATCTAAGATTTAACCAGATTCTTTACGATTCTCAAATTTCAACATTTTTTGCTCTGACACTGAAAAATTGTCATATTAGCCGATTCTTTCTTCTTTCAGCTGTTATACTGGCTACCGGCCAAACTTTTTGTAACATTTCTTTTAAGTAACTTTTGCAAACTTAGTATCTTGTTTTCTTTGTTGTGAAATTCTCAAGTTCACTTATCAAGAAATGCCTCCTTTATGACAATTATTCAGTGTGCACTATCTAATCTACATGCATATAAAATGAATAATTATCAAAATCGAGTGGTTTTCCTTACATCATAACTTTCAAAATAAGTTTTTCTGAAACCCATTCAAATATTTTTGAACACAATTATCTTCAAACTGAGATTCATAATCATTATCTGTTGTGCCTTTTTAAAATATTTTGAAAGATTTATGTATCGGAGTTTCCACATTTAGACACACTTCATAAAACATCTAACATTTTACTGAGCGTTACCACCATCACAAAATACATGTCTACAATATAAAACTTTTTATCATACATTTTATATAATTACTTGATAAAATACATCTATAGTCTTCGTATATCCATTTGGGTTGTGAAAAGGTCCTAATTATATACTTGTAAAACCTGTCTACTGTGAACATTGGTTGAAACCAGCTAGAGGTGTTCACCATTGAAAGGTGTACAGTTTAATAGGTGATCCGATAAAAGTGTTCACCATTGCATTTCCCCTATTTAGGTGTTCCTGGGATGAGGGATTCACAACCTAACAAACACATCTTTAATAACTAGTAAAACCAATTAAGTGAACATTGATTGAGACAATCTAGGTGTTTTCAATTGAGGTGTTCATGTTCAGAGGTGTTCTTAATTTGGGGGCTCACAAACAAAGGTTTTACAGTATTGGTTACATACAGTATGTTAATTTTACAATGGTTGATTTTTATACAACTTATGCATTCATTATGCAATGTACATTCCATGAAACCTAAACAGTATAAAATAAGTGTGGCAATATTTCATTACAAAACATAACAAATATTGATTTGTTTACAAGTATCAATTCAGTTATTTCTACCATGGGGGTCCGTTCTATAATATACATCTTTGTCCCATACATACAATAAAAATGTAAATAAAAAAGTATATGATACATATACATATATTGATGTGTAATTTACATGCTGATAGATGATTTACTGTCAAGATTTACAGTTTAATGTCAAGGATCTTGACGGCATCAACAGAACTTGACTGTAAAACATGATTTTCGAACAATTGCTTAATTAGACTTACATGTACGCAAATCCATGATTTTTATCATTTACTTGAAGTTGTAGTATTAAATGAATATATATGAATGTGACACTTAAGCATTTTGCACTAATAAAAAAAATTAAAGCTTGCAAAAATACCATGTTCTACAATGCCAAAGATTGACCCAATTTAAGATATTTCCACAGCGAAAGCTGATAAAGCAGTCAAGTGAATTTATCTAAAAGGATCAACTAAAATATCACCAATTTCTTACCAAATATGGCGATGTATTGTATTTATGCAAATGTCTCCATATTTTATCATCCAAAATCTTTGGAACAAAAAACAGCCTATTACAAAAACTAAAATTTCCTCCGTTAATTCAGTTTGATTTTGGCCCGAATCAACAGTCTATGCACTATCCACTTCATTGCAGTATGAAATAATAAATACAACTTCTTAGTCAACTTAAATATACAGAGGTCGGGTTAATATAAAATATATGAGTATAAGTGGATTTCAGAGCTAATGTTATTCAGTGTATATTATTTTACGCTGACATCACTTGGTTTGAATCTGCTTCCGCAGGCATTGTGGGTATTAATTCCATTTTAATATTGAAAATGAAAATTCCGTATTTTTTCATTCAGCAAAATATTGAATCCTTCAGTTTTGAACATGTATCTAGTACTCGCTTATCTGTCACGACTTAACTTTTTGATGGTAAATCTCCTAGAAGTAAAATTTCCCCATGACGATTCTAAAGACTTTGATACTGTCTATTTTCTCTAAATTTAATGGTTGGTCATAAAACTATTCCTTGAGGAGCTTCAAAACATCTATTTTAATTCAAAATGTCCTTCCATTGAGTTCCGATGTGCAGTGTCTTTTTATGAGATAGCCAAAAAGGTCTAGATCTACACAGTGTGGCTTTCTGCCCGTCGTATCACACAACACAGCAAGCAGGAAAAGGTCATACCAAGTACCTGGAAAATTGAATTAGATACAATACAATACATGAGATAGATAAGAATACAATATATGAGATAGATAAGAATACAATACATGAGATAGATGCAGAACAATATATGAAATAGTATTTTCCAGAAAAGGAACCCTAAAATGACAAATTAATTAAAACAAAACAAACTTTGTCAACTTATAATTGATAGGTATAAATTGAAATTAAGTCCATAATATTCCAATTAGCAGAAGTTTTACTACCATTTATTCAATTCCTAAATTGCTATTTTCCAAGATGACAGTAATTTCCTCCTTAATAAAAAAATACAAACAAATTTTCTTTTATTCCAAAGCTTATATGAATGAATATTCATTGGATATTTGTGGATATTTTCTAATACAATGTAGGACATTTATGACTATTGCTTTTTGGTATTTAATGGGCATGCTATAAGGTTCAAAAAATCTCATGCCAAAAGTCTATGTTAGTAATTGTACAATGTACTATTATTAATAAATATAATGTATAATAAAAGGGAGGCACTCCGTTACATTCAATCGTTTTAATTGTCACTTTTCTCTGAATTAATCCAAATATAATGTACATTTACATCATGTGGACCAATCAAATTGCTTGAAATTATTATGAAATATGACAACCCCTATATGGCATATTTAGTACAATTGTAACTAGCTAGGTAAGTAGACAGTTAGGGAGTACATGTTTTCAAAATGCAAATACATGTATGATATTTCAAAAGGTGGTTTACTAAATTCAATGTTAGTGATACGCTACATGGAATATACAGATATTAGTAGAAACTAACCTACGAATAAATCCATAAATGCATCATTGTATTCCCCCTCCAAGTCAAAACCTTTACTACTTAACAGACTTTATTTCCAAAATATTAATTCACTAGAAACGATCAGGTTTGTCATAACAATTGAAGTTTTCACATAAAATTTGTAATTAGTGCATTTTATTTGACTCAAACTTATAGATTTCATTTTTGACTCAAATATGTAGTTATCACTTCTGACTAAACATCTCATATTTATATCATGTATACAGATATACTGCAATTATCACATTTAACTCAGATATTGCTATCACATTCGAATTTTGCAGTTCCCACATTTGAATGAACTTATATTTATCATATTTGACTAAAACTTCCTGTTATCACATTTGACTAAAACTTCCTGTTATCACATAGATAAACCAGTATTCGACACAACACCAACATCCAACAATCAAAAACTCCATTTGCCACAGAATTAGACGAGAAATACAATGTCAATCTAATCAAGTCATTTAATATTCAGTCCATACAAATAAAAAGTGAAACATTCAAAGAGAAGCAAATATAAATACACCCTAACAACCATCAATGATCAATTGACCATCCAAGACACTGATACCGAAGTTTAAACAGACTAATTCATGCTTAAGCAATTCCACTGTCCAACTATTTCATCAAACAAGGCACAACTTTTGCCCCTGCATGCCAAAAATATAACCCCCATACATTTTCTAGGAAAAAGATGTCGCTGAATTTATGCCTCTGCCTCTCTAATGGCACAACACAGCATCATGGAGAATATCATACCCAGCAACTGAGAAATAACAGTGTTTTCTTAGTTATTTTTTAGTAACAGAGAATAGAATTGTATAAAGGGCAAAACTACAAAGGTTGAACTTAATGAGATAGAAGGAGATCTTGATTATGAGTAGCTTTGAATATCTTGGAATTAAAACTTTTTGTCTTTTCTGTATTTTTTTTCTCTTTCTCACTTCATTAAGGTTTTTAATCAATTGCAAAAATTTCATAAATCTAAAATAAATTTCACACAAATTGAGATACTACCGTGTTGTATTGATCAAAATAATATAATTTAGCTTTGTGACTTATTCTGCTGAATTTGGTTTAAGGGAATCTGTCTACTGCTCAATAACTCACTGCTCAAGAAAGTGTTATTATTAACTTTTTCTGAAATGACATCAATTTGAAAACAGCTTCCCTAAATAACACAGATTTCATCAATAAGTGAATTTAAGATTTCACTCAGTATAGAAATATGAGTAATGGTTGCTATAGCAACACTTACCATTACAACACCAATTCCTATGGCAACTCCAGCAATGATGATTACATGTTCCTTGAGAAAGTCAAACATCTGTTGAGTGCAAGGCTGAAAAACAAATAAACATAAATTGAAAATAGCATCATGTAAATACACAGAAATAAACATGAACCATAAATGGAAGCAAAAATTTAAATAATACTTTTTATTCTTATTTCAACTATTAGGTATCATTATTACTATTGCATCATTTACTTTAAAAAGTTATAATTGATTCAGTTTTTGAACTAAATGACAAATTATAAATTCATTTTTACATTTACAATAATATAAGCACCATTCTGAGGTTTTCTTGAGACACCCAATTTGAGGAGGATTGACAATTTGACACCAGAATTGTCCATAAAGGTGGCATTTTGACAGAGTACTTTGCCTGGGAATATGGACTTTTGAATATTCCAGGTAATCAAAATTTTGATCAATATATTGTCCAGCTTTTATTACTCCCAGGGGAGGGACATTGTCTCACTAAATTGCTCCCAGGTTAGGGAATTTGACAGTCTAATTTTTAGTATAGTCATTCAAAATCCCCAACCCTCCCCATGTGGGTGTCTAAACCTTTGAATATTACATGATTACATTACTATAACATAACCCCTAACATAACTGAGACCCCAACAGATTGAATGTCTGTGGAGAAATTAAAAAATGAAAGATAAAAGAAATTAGGAATGTTTTGAGATTATCGGCTTAAGCATCACGGAACAGAAGCCATCATTATATTTCCCTCAGGAATAGCCTCTCATTTTTTCTCGTTTGCCAAGTATAATTCATGGAACACTTTAAATAAAATTACAAAACATGTAACAAACAAACAATGTTGATTTAATCTCAGATAAACAAGAGCCCATACTTCACGGCATGTTCACTACAGCTGCATAGCCCCATGATTATGTTAATAACAGCTGTTTAATCCCATTATTATATTAATAACAGCTGTTTAATCCCATTATTATATTAATAACAGCTGTTTAATCCCATTATTATATTAATAACAGCTGTTTAATCCCATTATTATATTAATAACAGCTGTTTAATCCCATTATCATATTAATAACAGCTGTTTAATTCTATGATTATATTTAGTACAGCTGTTACCAGGGTTATCTTAACTACAATTGGTTAATCTAAGAATTTTGTCACTTTTAGTGTAATGATAGCATTAATATCAACGATAAATACCACTTCTATTTTAAAAGTTTCTTTGTTACATTTGAAATGGTTTGTTCCACAGCTGCACATACATTTGAATATGTAATTGAATTTCATACATGTGGGGTAGATCTGCCAACTTAAACACCCCTCTGAACACCGTTCTGTGCCATGAACACTTTTTCTTTGACTTGATTATATTATGATATTCCTAACATTGGCTCCCATGTTAATTCTTTCAATTCATCTTGATTCTTTTAATGCAGTCATCTCTAAGATGAACACCCCAAATACAAACTCAAACACTTTTGCAGTCCACACAAGTGTTAACCTTCTATGGGTTTTAGTGCAATCGGCTCTCATAGCTCACATGAATACAATCGTTTAGCCATATGTGGTGAGTAACTGTTTGCATGAACATGTTCTAGTCAGTCAACCATGCAAGGGGTGCCTCCTCAAAAACACTTCAGTTCACAATTTCAACAAATCCTGGTAGATTGTTCGCCTGTTCTTATACTCGTCTAAATGTTACACCAAAGGATTTCATGAATTGTGAACATTTATCTATCCAAGAGGCGCTACCCCAAGATACCTTTCTTGTGTTTTCCCCACATGAATCTACTTTTCCTACACCTAAACCGTAGTCGATAAGACCGTAAGTATGTCCACAACACCTGAACTAGAGTTGAAATGATTATATGAGATTAAACCAACATTCATATCTATGTACTATAGTATAGGGATGGATGACCAAGTTGAACCACTGAGGCATAGCCCATCTTTCAACAGCATAATAATATAATATCATACTTATACAACAGAAAATTCCAATCTTTTAGATTTTCATAAAAATAAAGATTATTTTTTGGTGATTTTGAACTTGCAATTTTTTGTAAATATTGCTACCTGCAATCTTTAATATCAGTAATCTACAGCACCAACATACTCTGATTTATTCGGTGTATATACCAAGAATGGAAAAAAATTAGAAAGGTCTATTGATTCAAACAAAAGTTGATTACAGTATCTGCTGTTGAGATGGATATGATATCAATGGTTCAACCTGGTTTTCTCTATAACAACACTCCTTGCTGTGTTATAACAAACATGGTAGTCACTTGGGTGTGGTTGTCATGGCGCTCATTATTTGGTGTTAGTCATGGGCCTGAAAGTAGCCTATGTATGAGTGTCATCAGGGAAGGATTCGGCTGTTCTGTGTCTTGAAGCTCTGTGTTTGGTAGTCACAGATTATAAAATATAGTTTGGAATTTTAGGGATCAACTGCCATTTTAACTACCATGTTTATTATTGCAGGGAGCGTCAGTTCACGCCAAGATGTATGAAGGAAGGGCATCAGCTACCTTGACTTGTTGAACGATATCGCCGCAAGTTTCTGGAATTCCGCCAACTTTGTTTCCACCAAAAAGATCCTTGACTCCTGTCAGGAGATAATCACCTGATCCTGCGGAAGCCCCACAGCATTTGAACTAAAAACAATATGGGAGGGCTATTTATGTACAAGTGAGTACCTGGGGGGGGGGGGTGGGTAGCACTAAAACATTACCTTATTTTGTTGGGTGGGTGGACCACATGTCTCGGGGGGATTTACAATGTAGGTTGGCCCATAATCATAAATTCCTAGATTTGCACCGCAACATTTCAACTACAACAACAATAGCAAAAAGCCATGCAGGATGCTTAACAAAGTTCATAAAGTTCATGGGACCTCATCTAGAATATCAAACTGAAAGTTCACAAGGTTCTACTTTAATATCTGGATTTGGTGAAATATGTGAACCCATGGGATTTGATTTCTGTGTACATGTGTAATCCTTCTTGCTCTCAATATGAACTGTTACTTTCTCATGCAGTGATCTCCCCTGCCAGCATTAGAGCACGCTCTTCAAAATCTGAAATTTACTTGCCACCACATTGAGACCTATTTGTACCTTGCCAAAAGGGTGAACTTAAAGACATAGTTTGACTGAAACAAGTAAATTAGGATTTAGCACCATGTTGAAAGAAAATCCTAGGGAGATTAATGAACATAACATTCAAAAATCAAAAAGATTGAAAAAAAAGAAATTGAATGATAGGGATGGTATCCAAGTGCCGACATTTTTGAAGAATGAATTCCATTACAAGATATTCTTATTATTAGAGGATTTCAGTAGTCACAAATGTTGATTTTTTAAATTTAAGTAACAGGTTTCCAAAAATTTTCAACATTTGTAATATCGATAAATGGGAGAACCATAACACAATTAACTCAATTGCTCCAAAACTGTTAAACATCTGGATATCATCCCTTGTAGTGAAGTGTTGAATATGCTAGCTGAATAAAGGCATGAAAAGTTACATATAACATATGTATCGTAAAAAAAACTAGAGAATAAAATTCATCCAAAACATTAGCCTTGCATGGTCTCTGCTTCTCACCCCCCCCCCTCCCACACACACTAATTACTTCACCTTGATTTAGTGAAGTGTGTGGGGGAAGTCAGTTAAAGGTGTGAAGAAGACTGCTAGACATACTGATAATACAGAATACATTTTAATGAAATAAACACATGTATCAGGTCTGATCTTTGTGCATATTCCTATAATCAAGCATAAAATATACATATATATAAAACATGTTTGAAGTCCTCTAGATCATTAACAATTGATTTTCTACAATGCCGTTTATTGACTATATTTTATAGGGGTTTGTTATCTTTTGTTAAACACTGCCCTGCCCCTAATTAATATTGATACTTATTTAATTATTTTTCAACCAATAATTTCTTTACATTGTTTAAATATTATCATACAACAATTTAATATGTTTCCACATTATCTTTTAATAATTTTACAATCCAACAATTTTCCAATTCAACTTACATTCACTTGAATGTTGTCCATAAATGTTTTTGATCCCTCATTCTGGTGGTAGTCAGCAACACGTCCCTGAAGAACCTTATTGACCTCACTCTTCAACTGAAAGTTATATGACAATAAGTAAATAAAGGATGATTCTCGGTTTGGAGAACGAAGTTCATCAATCTAAATGAGCATTATCCCTGCTTCGGACAAATTTGATTTTTTTACATAATATAGATTTGAATGTTTTCTTTTGAATGGTCATAATTTAATTTGGGAAATATTTCTAGATTTTTCGCAAAAAAAATATTAGCGCAGTACACTGATGAACTTGTTTCCCCAAATCGAGACTAGTATTTTATTGAATCGGTCAAATTGAGCGTTATCCCTGCTTCAGACCAATTTGTTATTTTTACATCTTGTAGATTTAAATGTCCTCTTTTGAATATGCATAGTTTAATTTGGGTAATATTTCTATATTTTTCATGAAAAAATTATTAGCCCAGGAGACTGTTCTCCAAACCGAGAATCGTCCTTTCCATCCCCGCTGAGAATTTAACATATTATTAAATTATGCATACGAGGGTTGTCCCAGAAGTAATGCACTATGTTGGATCTTGGAATTCTTCTATTATTTTCTACTATTTTATTATCTAGTCATTTGTTTGTTTATTTATTCTTAGACAACAATTATCACGAATCTAGTGACACGTGTTGCCTGTCTCGATCAAAACATGGACAAATTAGGGATATGTTTGGATGTAAAATGTGTGCCATTTATGCATTCTTGTATTGTGGCATATAATGCCCATGTTTTAAAAGGATACTCTTGATTCAGAAAATGTTTTTTCTTTTTTCATGTGATAGGGACATTTCTATGGGGTTACATTAAGATATCTAGCTATTGCTAGATTTATCATTATTCATTATTGTGCTAGCCTTATTTCATAAGACAAGCAGTAGGGATGGGGGTTAAAGAAAGATAGTATGATGGCATTTAAGGGTAAGGGCTTGGAGAAGATATGTACATTGGTGGTAGGGGAGGGGGTTAAAGAAATAAAGTACATAGACAGTTGAGGTTGGGGGTTTGAGTACATTGGCAGTTGAGGGTGGGAGCTTAAAGAAAATATTTATATTGGTGGTAGGGGAAAGGTTTTAAAGACAGTACATCGGTAGTTAAGGATGGGGGCTTGGAGAAGATTTGTACATTGGTGGTAGGGGAGGGGGGTTAAAGAGATAATTCATTGTAGGTAGGTGAGAAAAATGTTAAAATGAAAGTTCTTGATACATGTGCTACTTGACATTACAAATTAGTATTGACCAAATTACCCAAAGATTAATGAAATGCTAAGTATTAAATGTTAGTATGGGTGTAAGGACAAGGCTTTTCAAAGCAGTAATCTATAAGCTTATTAAAAAATAAATAGTCCTCTGTTGATTGGTAGATAAATAAATCTCTTCAGCTGAACTTACATCATCTTGTTGGACTAAGGCATAAACACCAGCTGCTACCAGGATGGCAAAAATTAGGAACAGCAAAACGAAAAACTGTAAATAGAAATTCATGCATATTAGTATAACGCCAAAAATGGGTGTACTAAACCAACTACAGTGATAGATCCCTTGATCAAGATTGATTTCCGGATCTTCCTGATGGTAGATCCACAGATCTCTTTGATCTTGGATTTCTGGATTGGTGATTCTGTCGATCATGGATCATCTAAGGTGTAGCCTTAAAGTGAGACGAGTAAGAAACAGAAAAGCTGAACTAAGAGAAACAATATTATTTTAAGCGGGGAATTATTAACTTAAATGGGGAGGGAAAAATGGACATAACAAAACAATGCAAATGCACCTAGCTTTCTCTTTGAAGGTACTGTATAAGGTTAAGTGATGAATTCATGAGTGACAAATATACCATTTAACATACAAGGGTCCCATTGGGGATGCTGTCCAAACTTCTATAGGTATGGAAAAACAAGGTTAATTTCAATAGAGGGATAAGGTAAATTATGATTTCAACAAATAAAAAAATGTTTGGCTTTAACCAAAGCAAAATAAAAAAATAATGAATAATAAAAAAAATAAAAAAAGGTAAATTATGATTTCGACAGATAAAAAATTTCGATTTTCAACTTTTGGGGAGGGAGGGACTTTAACCAAAACAAAATTTTAATTTGGTTTTCCATGACTGCCAACTTTTGGAAAAAAATATTTGGACTCTATCTCACACTGTAATGTGTAATGTTTTCACCATACAAATTCTTGATCAAAATGTGCTTTTCATTCCAATTCTGTGTTGAGAAATTGGTGCAGATGCATTGAAAAACATGCAGACATTCCATGAGACATATATAAATTTACATATATAGCAGTCCCATTACAATATCATATACTTGTAATAACAATTGGTGTATAAATGCTCCAATAGTGGCATCGAGTATTAATCCAGAAAGAGTATTAATCGAGTTTGAATCGAGTTCTTTAATGTGGGACTGCCATACATTAAAAAAAATAACAAAGGACCAAGTTCAACCATGATGCACTGAAGAACTGGGATGTTCTTAGATATTTCCTCACCGAATCTTTTTGCATGAGGGCATAAATACCAGCAATCAGCAAGACCGTGAAGATAAGGAAGAGGAATACAAAAAACTGAAAAATTGAAACATTGAAATAATGAATGCCTTTCTCCTTTGAGTTTCTCATTTCATTGCACTCCTTCAGGAGACCATAACATCTCTATTAGGAGACATAGTATATACAGGAATTACAGTACATGTTAAATGTAAAAACGCTGGCATCACTTGGGCTCGCTTCCAAGCAGGATTCAATACTGTGGACTTGAATGCATTTGTCATCAACTGCACCTGAAAAACAACTGAGGAACACTTAAATTATCTATTTGAATTACATAAACTGAAGTTTAAGTCCTTTCTACATGTACATTAACAGAAATGCAAACACAAAATAAAGTGTTCATATTTTTAATTAAATAGAACATTGTTCTTGTAATAGTGTGATTTAATCCAAAGAATATCAATTATGTATTGTCTGATGTACCATTTACTTGATGTACCATTATAGCACTTAAATTGCCATATTAAATAAATGGCTAATTATTGATTTAGAAGTCTACCAGCAAAGAACTAGAAAAACAGCAACTCCACGGAGTAGCAAATCCCACCGAACAAAACATGTTTTGATAAAAAATTTGAGCCAAATTCATCCATTGGTATTTGAATTATCAAAGATTATGATTTTATAAAACATGGTTGCCATTTTGAAATTCAGCTGTCATCTTTAGATTTCTTCTTTAGCAGAGAATGTCCATCCAATAGTATTTGAGTTATCAAAGATTACTTTTTTAATGAAAAATGGCAGCCATTTTGAAATTCAGCTAACGCCTTTGAAATTTCTTCTGAAGCAGATCTCCTTTTTCCCTAAACATCAGCATATAAAATTGGAACCAAATCCATCCACTGGTATTTGAGTTATCATTAATTACGTTTTTTTACGAAAAATGGTGGCCATTTTGAAATTCAGTGGCCATCTTGAACATTTATTTTTGAGCAGAACTTCTTTGTCTCTAGGCATCAGCATATAGAATTTGAACCAAATCCGTCATTTGGTATTTGAGTTATCAAAGGTTACGTTCTTTTATGAAAAATGGCGGCCATTTTGAAAATAAGCTACCACCTTGAAAATCCCTTATCGAGCAGAGCTCCTGTGTCCCTAGGCATCATCATGTATAATTTGAACCAAATCCATTCAATGGTAATTAAGTTATCAAAGATAATGTTTTTTTACGAAAAATGGCCGCCATTTTGAAATTTAGCTGCCATCTTGAAAATCCTTTCTCGAGCAGAGCTCCTATGTCCCTAGGCATCAGCATCTAAAATTTAAACCAAATCCATTCAATGGTATTTGAGTTAATAAAGATAACGTTTTTTTTACGAAAAATGGCTGCCATTTTAAAATTTAGCTGCCATCTTGAAAATCCTTTCTCGAGCAGAGCTCCTATGTCCCTAAGCATCAGCATCTAAAATTTGAACCAAATCCATAAAATGGTATTTGAGTTATCAAAGATAACGTTTTTTTACGAAAAATGGCCGCCATTTTGAAATTTGGCGGCCATCGTGAAAATGTCTTCTTGAGCAAGGATCCTTTGTACCCAGGCAACAGCATATAAAATTTGAACCAAATCCATCCACTAGTATTTGAGTTATTAAAGATTATATTTTTTCCGAAAAATGGCCGCCATTTTGAATTAAGCGGCCATATTGAAAATTCCTTCTCGAGCAGAGGTCCTTCACCCATAAGGCATAAGCCTATGAAATTTGAATGAAATCCGTCAACCAGTATTTGAGTTATTGCCCGGACACACGAACGGACGGACGGACGAACGGACGGATGGAAGAACGGACGGAAGAACGGACGGACGAACGGACGGACGGACGGCTTTTCTATATCCCCCTCGAACTTCGTTCGGTGGGATAATTACCAATAGAAAGTATATTGAATGATTATTTGGTCAGAAATTTGATATTTTTCTCCAAATGTTGTATTCTCCTACATTCTTGAATGTCAAATTTCTAGTCATTATATAGTCTTGCGCCAAGACCTTACACATGGCTCCTCTTGCTTAAGTTCACACCGGAATAGCCTGACAACGGTAAAGTTAGATGCCGTTGTCACAAATGGCGGACATAACAGTTGCTTCAACTGTTTAATCACTTGGTCCTTATTTCATGGGATTCTATCGACGCTAATTCTGTGCACGTATTAAAAGCTCTTGTGATGGTGTTTCATGTGAAATCCCAATTTTGATCAAATTTGGTCGTGAATCGACACAATATAGCCTCTTCAATATCGTCAATGACAACTGAATCTGAATTTGAGTAATTGGCATATGGTAATTAGTGTCCGTTGTCCCGTATTCATTTTGATCGGTTAAATTAAAGACTTTATTTCGATGGTAGAACATTATTAACTGTACAATGAGTATTAAGACACTTTGATTGATTGTTGTTCCAAAGGAATTTAGTTTAGGTGCTCTATTAAACATAAAGTTCATGAAAATCTAATTGACGGTTATGTCGGCCATTTGTGACAACGGTATCTGACTTTACCGCTATCAGGCTATTCCGGGGTGAAAGTTGCAATGAGAGAAAGAATGGGGATATAAGGGTTTAATGCAAGACTAGCCATTATATTAAAATGGTCACCATACCGTTGCAAGCATGCACTGGCTCTCTTTAATAGCACCACAGCATCCCAAGAATCCTATGATCATAATGAGAACTCCTATACCCATCAAGATATACGCTCCTGTGTAGAGTTGCTCGAAGTTACCCTCAACATATTTCTTGAAATCAGGATCTACGCGAACCCAAATCGCAACACCTAGTATGGCACATCCAACTAGCTGAAAATATACAAAGGGGAATAACGATTAGTCGTGAACTACATTATAGCGATACAATACACAAGTTAACACCTAAAAAATAATAATGTGCACATTTAAATCGCGATAGTAAGCCTAAAGGGGTTGTAAAATATAATAAATACTTGATACACCATTTGAAAAAAAATCAAATGGAGTTTATATTCTCTTTCCATTTAAAGATGGCATCGTTATAGGAGTCACATATGTTTCGTAATTGGTTTTAGTAGGAACCCTTTCTAACCACCTATTGACCTTTATATATATACAGTGTTATCAGTCTGTGTTTGTGTTGCAAACTTTTAGCAAGTGATTGAAATAGAATGATTTATATAAAATTAAAAAAAAAACAATGATTATTAACCAAACTAGCAAAAAAGAAAGCGGAACATCAATGACTAAAATTAAGTTTGAAAAACATAATGTGAGCCACATCTTCCTATTCAATCATCCTCCTTAAAATTAAATAAATCTTGGTGCTGTTCAGAAGACTGTACTTCTGAAATATCTGGGTGGGGTTGAGGTCAGTCAATTTTGTAATTACCAAGCTCATAACAGTTTGGTAGCAGCATGTAACAAGAGCTGCAACTGAGCTGAAGCAATCCATTGGTTATTTATGGCAAACATATAACAACTGTAAACAGTGATCTCCATGGCAATGAAGCAACATGGTGCGGCACCCATTTGAGAAATGTGCACCCAATTGAGAGGAAATCCACAGGGAAATACATATAAACTAGGCCATCTCCGCATGACCTACAGACCTAATCTTCATTGTTTTTAATCAAACTTCAAAGGTGCATAAATATGACAACTAGATGCATTTAGTTATTCATACAAACATCATATACTATAAAGTATAAAGCATTCATATGTATTTGACTAATAACTGCATATCCCACTCAAATGCTAATATCATTTTTACCCAGGGCTATATGACAAATGTGTGAATGCTCAAAAAACCTAATGGAATGTACCTACACATTCAAAACATGCACCATTAGTACTAAGTACAGCATATGAGAGAATCCTATAAATGATATATTTTAGTAATAACATAATGCCAAAGTAATTAGGACATAAATCTTGTATGGACTATTACTAGGTAATAATGATCAAGTGGGTTTTACCAGTTTTCTGTTCATAAAAATGTGAGTTATGTTTTAAAATGACAAATCGTGTAGAAAAGAGAGAATATAGCAAGGAATAAAGTAAATAGGCATAAAGTTAACGCTTTATATTATAGAAAAATACCAGAAAATGAGAGACTTCATTCAAATTTTAGAGAGAAATTGCAAGAAATAAACACAAGCAGACGGAGATTCTGACCTTGGGTGAGGTTTCTGTACAGTATATCACCATGCTGAATGAGGAAACCTTGTGGTGAGATTTACAACACATTTATGGGTTCACCTCATGCTTCAAATATTTCTACAGCAACACATATTTCTCTCTATTTCTCTCAAAAAACTAAATAGAGCTCATGACTTTATGACATTTCTTCCAATAGAGCCCAAATTCATACTTGTTTACTTTATCTTTATTTTCACTCTCTCTCCGTATTTTTTTACACAGCAAGCAATTAATAATATGATGCATTTTACTAACGGGCAAGTCTAGAATACATTTATATTGCTGAACTATATTGCTAACTGATAACAAAAATTATATTTGACCGATATAGATAAAACTGCTTATTGATTGCAGTATGTACACTGTCCTCAGGCAATGGGGATGACTTTATGATAGAATTAGTAAAACAAACACAGATTCATTGGTACATAATGTACAGTCAAAAACAATAAATGATTAACATATAAAGTCAATATTTTTGTATCTTTCATAAGACCTGAAGCATAATTCACTATTTCACTTAGAGATTCCTTGATCAAGCTCAGCATCCAATCAGAAAATCACAACACTCAATTTTAGCATCTAGTTCTCCGTTAAAGGGTTCCGATTAGCATCCCGTATAAAAACAATATGGCGGCTCCAGGCGAATCAACTGGATCAGTCCATTTTTAAGAAATAAGGGGAGTTCTGTAAAATCCAGTTTATTGAAATTGTCTTTGAGATAAAGTAATCCGTTTATAATGATTTTGAAAACGTTATCCAAAGAGTGATTGCGTTCAAAGAATACATGTACAACAGCCAATATAAATCCTTGTATTAGAAACCGGTTTGTCTTGCTTTGTTTCATTTGTAGGATATTTCATATGCCAAGCTGTGTGCTATTACGTTATGGGGAAATTTAGATGCCAATTTTTCCTTATTATACACAAATAGAAGATCCTGAAACTTCACCCATAAATGTGAAATTGATTTGTCAAAATAAAAATCACCCTTTTATAAATGTGTGACGATCTATAATATACTTATGCTATATAACAGTTAGAGATGTTGACACAACGACCTCGAACCTGTGAACCCTTGAGTATTATTCCGGGATCGGGCCTTTTATACTAAACGGTGAGCAACACCAGAAACGAGCGTTCGATTTGCTAAACGATATGCGTCACCCTTTAAGCGGGCCTCTACTTCTCCGTTAAGCAGACATTCTTTGCACATTCAAACATCATGAAATATTCATTTGAGATCATTAAGCAACAAAACATCTAATCAGTGGCTACGGTTAATCAGTATCGAAACTAAAACTGAAGGATGTTTTAAGGTTTTTAACAATGGTATTGACTCTTCTTATAATGCATCAAGCGCCTTCTCCAGATTCTCTCTCTAGCACAGCATTGAACATAGATTTTGATTCATTGTGAATACCTTTCAATTCAATGGGAACAAGGATTTACTAAATCAATTACATTTACAAAAGTGTAAATTCATTATGAGGTTGAGTTTTGTCTCATTGCGAGTCAATCACTAAGTCACATATGGCACTTTAACACTCATCATATTACACTTAAACGACCCAAGCTATATTTGAATTGAGATGTACTATATAAACATGGTATATATGTATGTAAACAGCAAAAAAGTAAGATTTATTGACAGAAAGATCAGGTGACTTTCACTTTTTATAAGTAACATTTGAAATACGAAAATCATCATAATGTGTACATGTTCTTTTCATTAATGTTTAAAATTCTCCAAGGTAAAATCCCTGGGTCTAGCATACATGAATTTAAGGACATGAAAATTAATTCATAGTTTCTTCAGCAAAAATTTTGGCCAGCGAATATTTGAGCTTTTACAATATATATTTATCTTAAGCTATATGTAGTTGCCGTGTTTTATTACTTTTAAGTGAGGGAATACTATGCTGAAGAAACTTATGATTATAGTCTTTGAAAAAATAAGAAATATGAATGAAATCTTACATGCTGACATCAGTATCTAACAAAACATTTTCTCTTAACATAACAGTCCTGCCTTATTATCCAAAGAACAATACACGATATGAGGACTCATTCGTAATTCTATTGAATAATCATGCCACAAGTATAATATGCTATCACAAATCTATTTTTCTGCAGTGAGAATTGATTTCCCGAATGTGCTATCAAACAAATATATGACAATACAATACATTCTCAATAGGCCAGACAAATACTGATATATTATTCATAAATTGTACATGTACATGTATAATATTCATGAGCTTGTTTTTCTGAAAAATTAATATTTAAAATAATGATAACAGCATTGACACGACAAAACATCACCACCTTGTTACTTATTGTAAAAAGTTACAAATCTGTAACAATATGTTGCAAATGCCAAACCCCAGTTACAAAAATGAAAACCGATAACTATACAGTATGTCAATACTTCTTGCCAGTGACCTAAGACTGTAAGATGGATCTTTGTATTATATTACATATTGTTATACTTTTCAGCTTTTTTGTAGATGATGTTTGGCATTGATTTTCAGTGGTTAGTTTTTGGTGCCTGTAACAAATGGCAGGTGCTGACATTTGTATAGTTACTGTCTTGTTCTGTGATGACATACATGATGGCAATTTGTGATGTTTCCTGGCATTACTATCACATTTCTTATTTCTATTGAAGTTAATTAAGGCGTAATAGCACTTTTCAGAAATGCAATTTGAACGAACATTCAAGTTGTGCTTTCTGCCTATAAGATTAACGCTAATGTATCTGTCCTTGGTACTCTTGTCTTGTTGAATATTTTATGACTCCATGAGATAATCAGATTATGGCTAACAGAGATGGACATAAATATACCACAGGGGCCTATTCCACTTGCTAGTGCTGGTTGAGAATAGGTTAACATACAATATACTGTAATTCCATCATAAGCACAAGCCTCGTTTCAAAACCCAATGTTCTACAATCAGTATTATCCCAACCAAGGGGGGAATTATTTTCTTAAAATTTCATCTTACTTATTTGTGACCTAATTCTGAAATCCTGAGGCTTTTCAATGTTATAGAAATCAATTTTGGCTTTCTCTTGGTTTTTCCTCATTATGGCAACCCCATAATACATGAAAGACCATAGAAACAATACATGGATCATTCCAAAACTTCACAAAGGCCATAAAGAGTTGGTAAAGCAATTCACATGCAATAAAGAGATGATTCACAGCTCCATTGGGCACTAGATAACTCTGGGTATCATCCAAGCTGAACAAACCTATCATATAAATCATATATCCTCCAACTTATGTTTTCATCCAATTTACTCATAAGACCCAACTTACTCAAGGCTTCATTAGAATTCTTAAGTTCATTCAATTTACACATGCTACTCAAAATGGATTATGGAACAAAAAAAATCTTATGCACTTTTCAGATTGCATATCCACCAACCTTTGATTAAAGTCAGAAGTATTTCTTTCTCCCATTTTATTTCCTGAAACTCTCACACAGGATTAAATTTTCCAGATTTTCACGTATAAATCTCCAGTATTTTGATACACAGGATTTGTATGATCATACTGTCGCAAGCAAAAAACTGCACATATGGTAAGACATTTGATGATCGATAATTTGTTTTGGGTTCAA